TTTTCTTCATTCTGACTCCACTAAACCTTAAGAAGTTTCCATGTGATTCTTTCCTTTTTTTTTTTTTTTTTTTTTTGCTTTTTGGGGCATACCTGGCGATGCACAGGAGAGGTTACTCCGGGCTCATACACTCAGGAATTGCTCCTGGCAGTGCTTGGGGGACCATATGGGATACTGGGAATCAAAGCCGGGTCGGCCGCATGCAAGGTAAACACCCTACCTACTATGCTATCACTTCAGCCCCACCATGTAGTTATTTTCTTGCCCACTCCCTTAGAATATCCAGGTGAGCAGGTGCACAGCTACAGATAAATTAGAAATACTGCACCTTCTGAGGCCAGAGCAATAGTCCATTGGGAAGGGCATTTGCCTTGGACGTGCAGGTGACCAGGGTTTGGTCCCTGACATCCCATAGGGTCTCCCAGGCACCTCCATGAGTAATTCCTGAGTGCAGAGCTAGCATTTACCATTGAGCATCGCTGACTGTGACCCAAAAAGCAAATAAATAAAGAAATACTGCGTCTTCTAGAGTTCCTGTTGATATATCAGTCCTTCTCAACTTTGTGTGCTTGTGTGTCTCCAGTGCATATGTACATGTCACAGAAAGTGTCCCACTGACTACCTGCCTTTTTCATTTGAGCCTCTACCCAACAGAAAATTGTACCTTCTTCAGCTGGTCTCTGGTATTTGGGAGTGAGGGGTTGGGACACTGTGACCTCACAGGTAATTTTACTTATTAAAATAAAAGAGTAAAAGCAAAATTTTACTGAGTAATTAAATTTCTCCACCTTCCTTTTTTTGTCAGCTTCAGTATCAGATACAGCACAGCAGCCATCTGAGGAGCAAAGCAAGTCTCTTGAAAAACCAAAACAAAAAAAGAATCGCTGTTTCATGTGCAGGAAGAAAGTGGGACTAACTGGTAAGGGCTGGAAAGAAGTGAACGAAGTTGGGATTGTGTTTTAGAATAACGTATGACTTCCCCTTAGATGATTCTGTTTCCAAGACAGGCAATACTTGAAGTGCTTCCATTTTTTTCTTCAAAGAAATAAAAGTTGCTTTAATTATGTACCCCCAAAATGAATAGCTTTTAACATTTTTTCAAGATTTCACCTGGCATTGAGAGTATCATCGCAGTCTAGTGACTGTGCCAGGCTCGCTCTAAGGGGAAGCTGTGACCTGCCTTCCCGAGCCTGCTCTTGAATGAGAGCGTGAGCTCAGTCCTTAACAAACACGAAGCACTTTGTGCTAACAAAGCTAATGTGGACTGTGGTAAGTGATCAAGACTTGGAAAATGGTTGTTACTCTCCTTTAGCCCATAGTGAGAATCCTCACAGGCCAGCCAGTACCTTTCAGGCTCTTCTGTGACTGGGAAAGAGGGAGAGAGAGAAGGTGCTCAGTGGACTCTCTGTGTCAGGCAGAGAGAGCAGCTTCCTGGCAGTGAAATCAATTGCTCTGGGAATTCAGCTCAGGGGTGCTGAGGAGAGGAGAGGAGAGACTCACGAAGAGAAGCTTCATGTAGGTGGATGCTTCCGCAGGTTTGGGCCAACTCAGCACTGATGGGAACAGCACTCCAGGCAGAAGGAAGAGCATGAACAGAAGCTCAGAGGAAGGCAGGAGGGCAAGAAGTCTGGCTGGCTGACTGTTGGTGCTGCGGGAATGGGCATTCTGGGAATCTGACAGTGGTACAGGGCATGGGCACTGAGATTCTCTCCTGGCCTAGCGTTGCCGCCAAGAAGCGGCTCAATGAAGGTTCATGGCATTCTGAGTTTTCTCTATGAAGTCCTGGACCCAGATGTTGAGATGCGAGGGAGCTCTAAGAGTTAGAGAGGAAAGGGAGTGGGAAGGTCTGAGCACAAAACTCCTTTACTCCTTTTAACTAGAGGTGCTTGCAAGGAGGCAAGAGTCAGAGGCAAAGTCTGTGCGGGGATGAGTTTCTCAGACTCAAGGATCCGACATGAAGTAATGTTCCTCTTGACCATCTGTCTAATCCAGTGTTACTGTTGGTTTTAATTTTCATTTGTTATTATGAGATCACAGAATATTTTTAAAGTTTAAAAAGGTGGTAAAGGGGAGTACCGAGAGTATCCTGCCCGCACGGGCAGAGCCTGGCAAGCTCCCCGTGGTGTATTTGATATGCCAAATATGGTAACGACAACAAATCTCATTCCCCCGACCCTGAAAGATTCTCCAATCGTTGGGAAAAGATGAGTAAGAAGAGGCGGCTAAAATCTCAGAGCTGGGAGGAATAGAGATGTTACTGGTGCCCGCTTGAGTAATTCTACGATCAATGGGATGACAGTGGTAAAGGAAGTTTACATCAGACATCAGTGTTTAAAATATTCCTGTGCTTCATTTCCAAGCACTTCCATATACCATAAGGCTCTAAATTGGGAAGTAGGATCAATTTTCTTAAAGACTATCCATCAGTTGCAGCTTTTAATCTCTATGAAAGAATTCAGCCACATTCCTTATATGAGATTTCCTTGTAACAAATTTCTGGGAGGAATAAAATCTTTCCAGTAGTTTGTTACTCAGAATCGCAGATGCTGCAGTTGAGAGAGGCTCCTTTACCTGTGTTGATGAGTTAGGCAGCTTCGTACGCAGGCAGCCGGGCTCTAGTCTGTCCTACCGCAGTCGAGTGGCGTCTCCACTGCAGGGTAGCTCAGGACACTGAAGAGGAACCTTCAGAGGCTCTTCACACTCTGGTGATGGGGTTTGAGGACCATTTCCCAGTTTCCGGTGAGCCTTCCTGTCTGAGAGCAAGTCAGTGTGTGTGGCTGTGTCCCAGGAAAGAAACGTGAGTGCAGAGAAGCTGTGCCGCAGCTCCGTGCAAAGCTGTGTGCAGACAGGTGCAGGAGATGCGGCTCAGCCGGCAGCTTGGAAAGTGTCTGCTGAGGGCCTCTTTCAAGCGCTGCCTTGTAGGTAGGGCTCTCTCTTCTCACTAGTTACGTTAAGAAACCCAATTTTAGACCTCCATCCAACTCACTTGTGCATCTCAATCATTTTCAGGGTTTGAATGCCGGTGTGGAAATGTTTACTGTGGTGTGCACCGTTACTCAGATGTACACAATTGCTCTTACAATTACAAAGCCGATGCTGCTGAGAAAATCAGAAAAGAAAATCCAGTAGTTGTTGGCGAAAAGATCCAGAAGATTTGAACTCCTGCTGGAATACAAAATCCTTTGACCATCCGCAAACTAAAAATTGACTTGAGGTTTTTTTTCCTAGTCCTTGGGATGTAGAGCAATGTATCTTGCATAGACCTTTCAATCATGCATGTCATCAGAAGAATAGATTTTTGTTTTTGTTTTGAAAATGACTCTGAACATTTATTTCCATTGCAGTTTCTGTGGCTGAAAACTTTTAAGTAAACTTTACAAGTATTATCCTTTTAAGATCATTTTAATTTTAGTTGAGTGCAGAGGGCTTTTATAACAAACATGGAGAAATTTTGGAGGGCTGTGATTTTTCCAGTATTAAACATGCATGCGTTAATCTTGCAGTTTATTTTCTCATTGTGTATGTATATATAGCTTTTCTCTGCAGCACGATATCTCTTCTGAGAATGCCCTTCGGGGCACTAGCATCAGTAACTGAATGTATCTTAATCATTTTGGCTGCTTCTGGTTTTGTTTTGTTTTGTTTTCATTAACAAAGGTTATACATATGTTAGCATAGAGTTTCTTTGCACCCACTATTTATGTCTGAATCATTTGTCACCGGAGAATGTGTGTTGATAAGATTTTAAGTTTGTGTGTTTTCATTTGTTTGAGCGAGGGAAGGAAAGCTGTGTGCATGTCATTGCTGGCCACAGGTTTCTTTCAGATATGTTCCTGGTCTGTGTGTACAATATGAAGAATGATCTGAAGTAATTGTGCTGTATTTATGTTTATCCACCGGTCTTTGATTAAATAAAAGAAACAACAGTGCTCCCCGGTGTTGCGTTTTCTGTTCTTCCTGGTAGAAGTTCACTGGGTCCCTGAGTCCTGTCGGCTCTGGACGGTTTCGTAGCGGAGCCAGTGCCTCTGGTCTCTCCGCAACCTGACCTGCACTCGCTCGCTCCTGAGAGTCGTTCGCAGTCCTCCAGGCAGACACCACTTGCCTTCTGCCACTCAGACGTGATTCTCCCAGGATTCCTCTAAGGAAGAATGTGCTGCTCTCTCAAGGGAGATGGGACTGTGGGCTCAAACCAACTTCCTGTCCTGGAAGGGAGATACAGCCTCGGACCCGGACTTTGCCTCCAGACTAGCATGAGCCCAGGAAAAGAAGGTGGTCATGTGGATCGCCTGTGTAAGCACTGACCCTGAACACAGCCACTCCGGCTGGTGAAAGGATGATCACAGCCGACACAGAGTAAGAGGAGTGTGAGCGCGTGAGGGCGGCAGTGTTCTCTCAGGAATCCCAGAATTGTGCCCGTACCTGCCCTCCCCAAGAAGGGGGAAGAGAGATGGGTTAGAAGTTCATTTGAAAACATCTCGGTCCCTTTTACCCACCGGGCCCCACCCGCTCCCTTGGCAGAGGTCCTGGGATGAGTCATGTACCTGCCACACTCGGCACATTCTTGTGACATGTGTGCCCACACACGCACAGCACTGAGGCACTCCTAACCCTAACCAGCGAGCCTGAGGGTTGCTGAAGCCCCAAGAAGTCCGTGTGATCTGTAGGGCAGGACCACAGCCAACTGCAGGACCTCCAGATGCCAGGAGGCGGGTATGTGGGTGCCTGGTGCGTGGTCGAGGGTACCTGGGTCTGCCCCAGCCTGGCCATTCTGTCACTCGCTCCATTGAGCTGAAGCTTGGGGCTGGCCTTCATGGCAGTCTGGAAGACAGGCCAAGGAATTCTCACTACGACAGGGCCCAGCTGAGGTGCTGGACCTCTGCCTCTCGGGGGAAGGGCTGCGGGCGGTGGGGGCGGGGCCGGATGGGGCGGGCGCGGGCTGGAACCGACTGGCAGGGGCCGAGGCGGAGCCGGATGGGGCGGGCGCAGGCTTGGGTGCAGAGTCCGCAGGGCCCAACTTCTCAGAACCTGGTCCACTCGCTGCCGCTCGCCGCAGCTCGGTTCTCTCGCCCCCGGCCGGTCCCGCTCGTCAGCATGTCCTTCATCCCGGTGGCCGCGGACTCGGACTTCCCCATCCACAACCTGCCCTACGGCGTGTTCTCCACCGCTGGCAACGTGAGCGCGTGCCCTCCCCGCGCCGCGCCCCCTCTCTGCGCCGGGTCCCCCTCTTCCCGCGCTATGTTCCCCTCTCCGGGGCGTGTCCCCTTCCCGCGCTGTGTCTCCTCTCCACGCCTTGTTCCCCCCCTTCCCACGCGGTGTCCCCTTCTCCGCGCCGTGTCCCCTCTCCACGCCCACCCAGCTCCACCCCTGCGACCAGCCTTGCCCAGGCTTGCCCCCACCCCACCCCATTGCGTTCGCCCTGGTTTCCTGGTTTTGGTGGGCTCTGGTGGCTCTGGTGGGCTCTGGTTGTGGTTGTGGGTAGGAAGAGGTGGGCCGACCCACCCGTGGGGGCAGAGAAGGGGCATCAGTAAATGTCTTTGAGTGTGGGTTGTTCATGTGTCTTTCCACGATTCTGTTCCCACCTCCTAAAGTTAACTTGGTTTTGGGCCAGGAGCAGTGATGCTGCGTGAGGGACTGCCCTCCGAACTGCCCTGCTCCCGGACTTTCTAGACCCCAAACCCGCAGAATTGCACCCCCCAACCTCAGAAGAGGCTTGTGAAACAGCTTGCCCCACCGCTGAGGCTGTTCGCTGCTGGGGTCTGCCAGCAGTTTCACAATGCCAGAGCTGGCCAGATGTTGCAAGGACCCAGTCTGTCCCCACTGAAACCTTAACCAGACTAGCCAGCCCTGCACCCCACACCGTCCCTGGCCCGGCTTCAGATTCAAGGGCTCAAGTTAGAGACCCAGTTCTCAAAGTGGCCTGTCTACAGTCTAGTCACCAGGCCCTTGAGAACTCAACGGGGAGAGAAGGGACAGTCGGGGGGGGGGGGGGGGAGATAGGGGCTTGGTCTGGATGAGGAAAGTAGGTACAGGTACTCAATAGCCTTCTAGAATATTCCATGAGCCTCTCATGCTCTAGGTCTGTAAGGACTCCCTTGCCTCTTTTATTGATAGTGGGTAGTTTGGGAAGAGGGGCACACCTGGTGGTGCTCAGGGGCCACTCCTGGGGTGCCGGGTTCAAACCTGTACCTCCTGCTTGCAAAGAATGTGCTGTTTGCCGAGCTCTCTCTATGGCCCTCCCTTAGCTCCTGTATTTGGTAAACACTTAGGGTCCCTGCCTCGGGGGGTGTCAGTCCCTCCTTCCCTCAGGAACTGTGCTTCCTATATTCAGCTCTCCAGCCACATGGGATACCTATCTGTTTCTGGAACATTCTTAAGAACAGTTTTACGCCAGAACACTAACCACGATTGCTCTGGAACTTTCTTGCTCCTCCCTCTGCAGCATTCAGCTTACTTGTGCTCTCCTCAGATGGGGCTCTTTGTGCCCTCCCTGGGGCAAGACTGTACCCTGCTGAACCCCAGTCCACACACTAGCAGCCCACCTCTGCCTCTGTCGCCCAGTGGCTCAGTGGGTGGCTGGGTGAGGACAGTCCTTGTTCTCTGGGTTCCTGCACACACCTGGCCCAGATAGGCCCAACTTCCACTCAGGTCCTTCTCTGCCCTGTCCAAGCTGGACTAGGAGAGGTGGGGGGTGGGACCAGGACCAGGGGACTGGGGTCCTATTCTCCCCCCAGTACCCCTACCAGCCCTCCACTCCTGAGCCCAGGCAGGCTCACCCTTGACCCTGCCCGCCTCAGCCTAGGGAGCACCCACTGCATGTCCCAGGCTGCTTACGTTGGTATGGGGGAGACTGAGGCACAAGGAGGTGGCTGTGGGAACCTCGTGGAGACAACAGTCCAAGGGGGGAGACAGCCCCAGGTTGGGGGCGGGGGGGGGGCGGGTTGCCAGCTTGGCCGTCAGGCCCCTGCTTCCTTCTGCATGCTTGAGCTCAGCCACAGGGCCCCGTCTGGGGCCTGAGCTATGGATGCTGATACACGTGTCCTCAGCCAAGACCAAGGATTGGCGTGGCCATCGGCGACCAGATCCTGGACCTCAGCGCCATCAAGCACCTCTTCACTGGGCCTGTCCTCTCCCGGCACCAGGCCGTCTTCGATGAGGTATCATCTCCTGTGTCCTGTGTTGGGGTGCCATGCAGTGGGGCCACAACAGGAGGGAGGCCTGGTCAGTGTGTCCATGCTGACTTTCCTGTGGCTTCCAGCTGATGCCCCCACCATAGTCATTCCCCGGAAGAGGCTACACTGACTCCCAAGGTAGGGACAGCTGTCCAAGTAGAAACAGCTTGGCTTCTTGTACGTGTCAGACGCTGGGGTCTTTGGCCACTGGGCATGAGTATCCATGAACTGTTGAGATAATTATCCCCAGTCCTGCTACTGTGGTGGGCTGGATAGGAATGGGATCCACAGATGGGGCCCAGCCCTTTAGACAGGGGTCATCGACAGGCCCAGCAGCTTGTGTACAGGGCCACTGGGGAGCAACCAAGCCGCTGGAGACAGCCAGACCCTGGAGTCCCTGTGCCCACTCTTTCCCTCTTTTGATCCAGCCGACACTCAACAGCTTCATGGGGCTGGGCCAGGCTGCCTGGAAGGAGGCGCGAGCATCTTTGCAGGAGCTGCTCTCAGCTGGCCAGGCCCGGCTGCGGGATGACCTGGAGCTCCGACGTCGGTGAGGACAGTGGGCAGGCAGGATGGGGCTCCTGGAAGTGCCGAGCCTGTGATGGAACCCCACTTCCTGCTGGATGCCCCCCAAAACCCTGCTTATGCATTTCAGGGCATTCACGTCCCAGGCGAGTGCCACGATGCACCTCCCAGCTACTATCGGTAAGTACAGGCCCTGCCAGAACCTGGAGGGGGTCAGCATCCTGCCCTCCTGGAAAGGGTCACTGTCATTCTGTCTAACACAGGAAGGCACCTTCCTCTCCTCCCCCCCACCAGCCCTGCCCTGGCTGTTCTTCTCTGCCAGCTAGTATACCCTGAATGTCAGTGGAACGTGCCAGGTTTGGTGGCACAGCTGGAGCCCATTGGGCAGCTGAGCAGAGAGGCCTCCAGGAAGGGGGCACGGCTCTTCTCACTCCTGACATCCTCCCCTACATACCCCTGTGTCCCCAAATCTCTTCCATCTCTGAGGCACAGGAGATCAGCACAGACAGCCCTAACCTATTTTTTGTGTCTGAATTCTGCCCTGGGAGACAGGAAGGGGGCCGTTTGCTGGCCCTCTGTGCTAGTGGGCAGAGCCCCCTAGGGGGCTCGGACTCCAGAGAGTCAGGGGGCAGGTATGACTGGGGTGGGTGGCCCTGTGGAGTCAGCACAGCTCCGCTCCTGACTCTGGGTTCCCAGCTGGGATTCGGCGAGGCTGCTTGCTCATGCTCGGCAGGTCTCCCTCTGCAGGGGACTATACGGACTTCTACTCCTCCCGGCAGCATGCTGTCAACGTGGGCATCATGTTCAGAGGCAAGGAGAATGCACTCATGCCCAACTGGTACGTCCACCACCCCTCTGCGAGGCATGGGAAGTGGGGACACTCAGCTGTGCCTGTCCAGCAGCCAGGCCGGTAGCCCTGGGGAGCTGGGATCTGCAAGCTTTCCCCGGGTAATGGCCTATGCTGGGCTCTCGAGCACTTCACAGCCTCCCCGTGGGGCGCTGTCCCCGTGGATGTTCCCTGTCGGTGACCAGCTGGCCATCTGGACGCGGATCACAGGCAGCCACACCGGCAAGAGGGCAGATAGGTCATGGTGCCTCTCAGTCCAGTCAAGGCCATCGACTGGGCCACTGCCAGGGTCATAGCCTTTTACCCATGCCTTTGTTTCTTGCTGTGCTGTGGACACTCATGGTACGACACAGTGACAAGTGTGTTCTGCATAGCACATTGGCCACACATTGGCTGGTGGACGTGAGGGGGCTGTGGGCAGAGATCTACCTTTTCTGCAAGTGCTTCAGTGAATTGTGCAGGGAGATGATGTCCAGTCAGACTGCAGTGCTAGGATCCCCACCCCATAGTCCTCTGAGTCCTCTCCAAGTTGCTGGAGCCCTCCCCAAGTCCTCTGAGTCCTTCCTGAGTCCCCCTCTGAGTCCATTGGAGTCCTCCCTGTGTCCTTTCCAGGTTTCTGGTGTCCTCCCCAAGTCCTCTGAGTACTCCCTGAGTTTCCTGAGTCCTCTGAGTCCTCCCCAAGTCCCCCGAGTCCACCCTCTTCAGGCGCAAGTCAGCTGTTTGTTGGAAGGACTTGTCCATCCTCCCGGGGACTCTGTCTGCTGCTGTCCCCACGACACAGGCTCCGGCCTGACAAGGCAGTGGTGCTGGGGACCGATGAGGCTATGCTGGCCAGTGCTCAGGGGACACCTGGTGCCGAGGGTCACGCTCGAGGCTCACATGCCAGGTTGTGGTCCTTTGGAACTGCCGCCAGTCTTTGACTTTGACCCACACTTGTGTACAGGCTTGTGTTGATCTGGCCAGTGAGGCCAGCACAGGACACTGACCTGTTTTCCCTTCCCGCAGGCTGCACCTGCCTGTGGGCTACCATGGCCGTGCATCCTCCGTGGTGGTGTCTGGAACACCGATCCGCAGGCCCCTGGGGCAGATGAGACCAGATGAGTGTGAGTACAGGCTGGTCTGTGTCCCCATGGCCTTTCGGGGTGCCTGCTCACCAGCCCTGTATGGCTTTTGCAGCCCAGCCCCCCGTGTACGGCCCCTGCAAACTCCTGGACATTGAGCTGGAGATGGTGAGTTGCTGGCACCCCAGCCACGTTTAGAGTAACTGGGGGCGTGGAAGATGATGCTTTCCAGGCTGACACTGGCCCATCGACTTGTGTGCTCTCTGGGTGCTCAGAGACCTGCACAGGCTGGTTCTTCGCAGGCCTGTTGTAGAGGGCCCAAACATGCATTGTGTCGTGTGTGAAGGGCACAGTGTGGGAAGAAGAACCCCTGGCACAGAGGGAGCCTGGTGCTGCCCATACCTGACCTTTGCCCTCCAGTGTCCCATGCTCATCTCCAGGCCTTCCCTCATCCCTAGGCTTTCTTCGTCGGTCCTGGGAACAAATTTGGGGAGCCCATTCCCATCTCTAAGGCTCAGGAGCACATCTTTGGGATGGTCCTCATGAATGACTGGAGCGGTAGGTGTGGGCCGGGTGGGGACAAGACAGGGTGGGGATGGGGTGGCTGGGGGCAGGGTGGGCTCAGCTCTTTCTCCCCTGCAGCCCGGGACATCCAGAAGTGGGAGTACGTGCCTCTGGGCCCCTTCCTCGGGAAGAGCTTTGGAACCACCATCTCCCCATGGGTGGTGCCCATGGAAGCACTCATGCCCTTCGCTATTCCCAACCCGGAGCAGGTAGGGAGCTCGTGTGCCCCACCTCTGTCTCACCTCACCGCTTACCTGTGCAGAACCATCTGAGGGTGACGCCTGTGGCTGCAGGCTCAGCCCTGACTGCTCCCCTGGGAAAGTGTCAGAACCCTAAAAATCTGGAGTTGGGTTCCCAAGGTCCCCACAGCCACCCAACTTCCAGGGTACTAGGGAGGTCCCAGAGCCCGGCTCTATGGGTATAGGACTCACCCAACAGCACCAAGTTCAAGACCCTGCATTGGCCATCACCTTCCCCAGCCTGATCCTCACTGCAGAGTTCCCTGAGGCCTGACTTGACCCCTACTCTGCTCCCACACTGCAGGGTCCCGGGGAGGGGCCTCTTCCCCCAACCCTTCATTTGCCTTTATTCCTTTAGGATCCCAGGCCCCTGCCCTATCTGCGCCACGACCAGCCTTACACATTCGACATCAACCTCTCTGTCGCCGTGAAAGGTGCTGGTGGGCCCAGTGTATCCTGTGTCTGGGGGCATCCTAGGGTCGGGGGTTTCCTGGGGTCTGTGTGACCAACACCTTCCTGGCCAGATTTCTCTCCTGCTTACCTAGCCCTCAGAGGCCCCGGGTTCCCCAGACATGGGAGAGGAAGGATTGTTTTCCTGGGTCAGAAGGAAGGGCTGTGAGCCCGGACTTCCAGTAGCAGCAGTGCCTTCTGGGAAACCGCTGGCCTCAGATGGGACACCAAGGCAGAGACAGGAAGGGGTGCCCCTGGGGAAGCTGGAGCATAACCCCAGCCGACTCTCAGGGGTGGCAGTGAGGACCACCAGGTTGAGGGACTGTGGAGAACTACGATGGAGGGATGGAGAGAGAACAAGTTCTGGAGGAGGGGTATCTAGGTCAGCAGCTAGTCCTGGTGCCCAGGAGCTCAGGGTTCACAGAACTTAACAAAATTGGGGATGGTGGTAGGGTTCTGGGCAGAATACCTTGTGCCTTCCACAGGGCTGTTTCCTGCTGCTGTGGGCACTCAGAGTCACTGTCTCCTTAACAGGGGAAGGGATGAGCCAGCCCGTCACCATCTGCAGGTCCAATTTTAAGGTACCATACAAGCCGGGCCCATTCCCCAGGCATGGGGGTGAGGGCTTATTTTCCCAGAGCAGGAGCTGGGGGCAGAGGTGTCTGCATAGGGCGGCCTCTGCCTGCCATGAGGGCTACCTCTGTCTGCTGGGCATGCATCACTGCAGGCCAATGGGGCTGTCAGGGAGGGCTTCCTAGAGAAGGTGGAAGGAATTGTAGCTCAAGAGGAGAGGTGGGTTGGGGCTGGAGAGACAGCACAGCGGGTAGAGCGTTTGCCTTGCACACGGCCGACCGGGGTTCGATTCCCAGCATCCCATATGGTCCCCTGAGCTCCGCCAGGAGTAACTCCCAAGTGCAGAGCCAGGAGTAACCCCTGTGCATTGCCAGATGTGACCCAAAAAGAAAAAAAAAAAAAAAAGAGGAGGGGTGGTGAGATCCTGGGCTTGTGCTTGCCTGGCCTGCATGGCTGCCCTGCCCACAGTGTTTCTGTGCCCGCAGCACATGTACTGGACGATGCTGCAACAGCTGACCCACCACACCGTCAATGGCTGTAACCTGCGGCCTGGGGACCTTTTGGCTTCAGGGACTATCAGTGGGCCGGTGAGTGGACTGTCACAGGGGTCATGACGACCCTGGTTTCCTGCTTCAGCACTCACCCTGGCTCAGAGTTCTTCCCCAACTGTGGCTCAGGCAGGCAGGCGGCCACTTGACAGCTGCAAAGCCAGGACCTGGTGTGTTGTCTGCTGTCCACCTCCTAGCCACAACCCCATGCCTTCACAGGGAGCACTGAGATGAGACAGGCTATGCCAAGCCCTATCTGCAGCCTGCCCCAGGGCCCCCGTTTCTAGGGAAGTGACTCTGGGCTCCGGGATGTTTTCCTTTCACTTATATGAAGTGTGTCTGGAACCCAGAAATAATCTGTTCAACCCTACGGGCTGAGTGCCCCAGTTCCAGATGTCGGGGGACCTGGATATAGGTTAGCAGGGCTGCTTGGCCCCCAGGGTGCCAGCTCCGGAACAACGAGCCTCAGAGCCTGGCTCTGGGTTTGTACAGGTGGGTGGGAGCAGGAGCCCCACGAGAGAATACCAGGAGGGGAGCACAAGGATGCGAGCCCCAGGATGGGGGCAGCAGGCCTTGTGGTACTCGGCTGCTGCTACCATGCTCACACTGTCTCCCTCCTGGAAGGAGCCCGAGAGCTTTGGGTCCCTGCTGGAGCTGTCCTGGAGGGGCACAAAAACCATCGACCTGGGCGGTGGACAGACCAGGAAGTTCCTGCTGGACGGGGATGAGGTGATTATCACAGGTGAGGTGACTGCCGACCGTATGCCCTCATCCCCGCCCCTCCCCCGCCCCTCCCCCTCCCGTACTTGGCACCTCACTGGACACCAGCCACTATCTCTTGGGTAACACAGCCCCAAACCTGCTCTGTCACTCTCCCTGAGCAGGTGCCCCGGGAAGTGGGGGCTGTCCATCTGCCCACCGTCCTTTTCCCACTGGTCTCCTGAGCCCCCCAATGCTCTGAGCACTGAGCCGCCGCCCACCCTCTCTTCCAGGCCACTGCCAAAGGAACGGCTACCGCATCGGCTTTGGCCAGTGCACCGGGAAGGTGCTACCTGCCTTGTCTCCGGCATGATGCCCCTATGCACTGTGGGGAAGCCCCGAGTACCCCAGATCAAGCTCCCCACTGGTGACGAATAAAGCAGGTGGCACGTACCATCCTGGGACATGCCCTGGCATGGTCTGAGTGGTTGCTGGGCTTTGCTATATCATGGGGCTCTGGCACTGTGACCCATCAGGTGGGCAGGCTGGAATCTGTGGAGTCCCCGCTTGCTCAGACCCATGTCCATGACCTGGAGTCAGCGTCTCCGCATCTTGGAACCTTCGACTGGCAGAGCATGGGACCCTCAGCGGTTCCCTGAATGATGCTTGTTCAGACTCAGTGGTGGGGGTGGGAGGCAAGGGACTTTAGTCACCCCAGTAGGCAGGCCTTTTGAGGTAACAGCATGCTCATGGTAGGTGTGTCTGTGAGTTACAGTGGGGCACATAGGGTTTGTGGGTGTGTCTGAGGGAGAGTATTGGGGCTCGTGGGTCAGGGGCAGCACATGGGGGCACATGTTTGAGCTGGAGTAGAGGACAGCTCTTCTTGGGCAGGGCTAGGGGACAGTATTGCTTCCTTTCTCTGCCCACCCCAGGATACCTGCTGTGGCGTGGTGGACTCATGGCAAGCTGGGTGGCCTGACTGTGCCCCCTTTCCTCGCCACCAGAGCTACCTGTGTGGGGAGCAGTATGTGGGGGTCTGCAGCCCCAAGAGCTCCTGTTGAGCTGGCGCGTGTCCGAGTGCAGCCGGCGGGTTCTAAGGAGTAAAGACTTGACAGCCCAGAAGTGGCTTAAAGGGGGCAGCCCCCGCCTTCTCTTTGTATGTCCCGAAGTTTCCAAGTGCACAGCTAGTTAACCACAGGGAGGAAGAGAGGGTCTCCTGTGATGTTCAGGGCCCCAATTGTCGGCAGAGCCCCCCGATGAGCACACTACGGTGTATGGTCAGTTCTGGACCCTACCCGTGCTCCCCAACCTCTGCCTCCCGGGGTGATCCCTCTCCCTGGGGGAGCTTCTCAGTCGTCCAGATGCTGCTCCTCCCAGGTGGAGGTGGGGATGGCGCTGTAGGGGTCCATGATGACCTTGGCACAGCGCACGATCATCAGCAGCAGGAAGAAGCAGAGGAAGCCGAAGCAGGCCAGCGTCAGCCCCTTGTCCACGTCCAGGTACGGGGGCTCGGGTGTGGGCGTGTCCATGGCCAGGTGGCGGTGACGGCGCAGGTGGGCTCGGGGCCGGCTATGACCATCTTCCACCTGTGGGAATCCCGCGGGCAACAAGGAGTCCTGCAGGGCTGCCTACCTCTGAAGCCAAGTTTGGAGAGAGGTGCTCTTGGGTATAGGGGTGTGATCTCTTGGAGAGGGGTCTATTGGATGTAGAAGGGCTCGGATGGGCCATTCTCACTGACCTGGTTGGAGCCATGGTGTGAAGCAGGGGTGGGCAAGCCCTGTCCCTCCTTTTCCCTCCTGCCTGTGCTGCCCGGGGACCTCACCGAGTCCCACCCTTCACACAGCGTCAGTGTGGAGGTTCAGGGGGACTGAGGATGGGTGGTGAAGTCTAGGGAGTACCAGGAGGTCTCTGCATGTTCCCATTCCCACTCGGGGGTACGGCTAATCTCAGCTCAGCCCAGGACTCCTGCAGTGCTTAGCAAGGAGACACTGAGGCATGGGAGCTTCTACTGTGCACCCACCTGCCAGCAGAGGGTTACCAGGTCCCAAGGGCCTTCAGGTGGGGCATGATGCAGGGCTGCTCCAGGGGGTGAGGCAGGTCAGGCCCATCTGAAAGAGGGAACAGAGACTGGGAGAGGGGATGGAGACTGGGAGGGACAGAGACTGGAACGGGGTCAGAGGGTGGGAGAAGGGTAAAGGTCCTGGCCCCAGCAATCTGGGGGGCAAGAACGACCCTTGGTTCTGATTGTGCTTTCTTTTCTCCTCTCTTCTGTTCTCAGAAATCAACATCTTTACATAGTGTAGTGATGGACTGGAGGTGGTGCTTGCCTTGTATGTGGCTGACCCAGGTTCGATGCCAGCCCTGCCGGGAGTGATCCCTGAACTCAGAGCCAGGAGTGTGCCCTGAGCTTGCAGGCACATGCACACACATACACACATGCGCGTGCACGCACACACACACACACACACACACACACACACACACACACACCAAAAAGCCCAAAACTAACCATAGAAACCATTAAATCACAAACACAAACATTCATCCGTGTTTCCTCACAAGCCTGAGCTGCAAATGTCCAAATGGTCCCCTGTGCCCTGGGACAGTGCTGGGGCTTCACATCCCAACTGTGTGTGCAGCGGCAATATTCCCCTCCATTTTCCGCCATCACCCTAAATCTTGTGCATTTTCATGACCTGCTTATGGGCCTGGATGCTGGAGGACTGTGGGGGAATCAAGTCCCAGCTGTATCCCCAGCTGTATCCAGCTGAGGGTGGCTCTGCTACCCCCAGGACTGCCCTGCCGCCCCCTCCCTGCCCTACAGCTGGGCTGGGTTGGGCTCTGGTCTCCATCAAGACAGTTTAGGGGTTCCTCTGGGCTCAGGAAACCCTCCTCTCCGGGCCCTGCTCCTTCCCACTCCTGCCAGCCTGGCCCTTTCTGAACTGCAGGCTTCCAGCAGCCCCCTCAGATAAGGAACTTGGGGACTGGCGGTTCCCCGACCCCCGCAGAGCAAAAGCCCAGGCAGCTGTGAAGGGAACGGGCTCCGGAGGCTCATCTGCTTCTGAGTCAGCGGGATCTTCCGAGGCATCTGTCAGCCTGACACTTGGTTTGGGAAATAAGTCAGTGGCAAGTGTCGCACAGATAGGACCAGGAGTGAGGCTCGGGCCGCCCCGTGGAGGCCCCTATCTGGTCTATGGGCAGTGTCCCCAGCCCAACAGGGCCCCGCAACCTGAAACTCAGGACCCAGCCAGCAGGTCCCCGAGAGGCTTCCAGGTAACAAATGGGTTTCCAGTGACTCAGGAAAACAAACACCTAAACAGAGGCCACCCTGGAGGAAGTGTCACTGGGCTATGCAGAGCTGAGGGGCCACACAGTGGACTGGCTTCTCCCCGGACCCCACAAAGCACGAGTGTGACATGAATGATCAGACAATCCATCCCTCCCGGGAGGCAGCTCCTGCCTATTCTTCCTTGCCCAGTCACATCCCACAGGTCATGCGGGACAGGGAGAGGTATGACAACTGGCCTGGGCTGGGAGGTGCTAGGGTACCTGTGCCTGTACCTGCCCACAGCCCCGCTTCGTGTCCTGCTGGAATTTTCTAGGGCAGCTGCAACTCCACCACAGGGAACCCGAAGCCTGGCTGCAGGCAGCTGCACATGCGATGTGACAGTATGGCATGGGGTGTCCGCTACCCAGTAGAGCCTACACCGTGTGTACTGCCAGGGGCAGGCCCCTCAGGGCCTCAGCAGCTGCATTTTCCTGAAAACTTGGTGGATAAGATCGTCACCCCTTGGGAGGCTGAGCCAGGCTTCTGACCTCATCCCCACAGCCACCCTGCTGGAGGGAAGCAAGGGGCCCTTTTCTGGAAATGCTCTTGTTCCCTGCTTAGGTGAGGGCAGGGCATCCGACCCAATGTTTGTTTGTTTGGGTTTTTTTTTGCTTTTTGGGTCACACCCGGCGATGCTCAAGGGTTCCTCCTGGCTCTGCACTCAGGAGTTACTCCTGGTGGTGCTCGGGGGACCATATGGGATGCTGGGAATCGAACCCGGGTCGGCCGCATGCAAGGCAAACGTCCTACCCACTGTGCTATTGCTCCAGCCCCCCGACCCAATGTTTTGCACACAGGCGGATCTTGATTGGCCAGAGCTGGGCCAGCGCACAAATGTTCATTGGAGGAAGGCCCTAGAGAGCAGGAGAGAGTCCTGCCATCCTCTTGCTCCCAGCAGCCTGGCTCCTGTCTTCCAGGCTGAGTAAGGGGCCTTTTGCTTTACAGAACCTCTGACCCACCACAGCCACAATAACGGTCGGCCAGAGATCCGCTGTGATTTTCCAAACTTCATTGAGCCCAGAGGCACCATTCAGCACAGGCCTATGACTCGTGTGTCATGCAGAAATCACAAACAGGACCCGAAAAGCCAGTGGGGAAGTGGCCAGCAGGGTCAGCAAAGTGTGCCAGGAGAGCAGAGACAGAGCTGGGCCATGTGCTGTCCACTTCTCTTCAGGGGAAATGAGCCCCCCCCCCCCCCGCCCCGTGTACCCTGAGCAGCTCCCGGGAGGTGACCCGTGGTTGCACCGTTCCCTCCCTTGCTGGCCGCCTAAAGCTTGGCACAGACCTCTGCCAGCATTCCTGGAAATGGGGCCTTTGTCCAACTCCATCTAAAAATGCGCCCATGGTTTGGACATCTGAGCAGCGTCAAGGGGCCCTGGACCCACAGTGAGGTTTCCCAAGGACCCTGTGTCAGGCGGAGAAGGCTCTGGGGAACAAGAAGTGCACCCCTACCCCCCTTCAGAGCTGTAGCAGGCTCCACCGGATGGAGAAATCCTGCCTTTGAAGGGACCTCCAGACCTGGAACCCCCATTTCAGGACCCAAAGCCATTTCAGCCCACGGGATGACAGATGCATTCCTCTTTCCTGACAGCCTCCCTTTCCAGAACCTTCCTGTAGGCAGGGGAAACTTGATGAGATTTAGCTCCAGGGCACATCCCAGGATCTCCCACCCAAGACCCCATTTATGACCGGGTCCCTGCCATCTCCCTGAGATGGGACAGAAGCTAGTGAAGACCTGAGCTGCGAGGCAAGAACAGAGACAGGCAGAGACCGTGGAACTTTCCCCAGAAGTTCTGGCTACAGTGACCTTTGGCAGCCCGGAGAAACATCTCCTATTCATCTCCTCTTAGAATTCCTTCCTAACTTAGACTCCGCTTGCCTTCCCGCCCTGCTCCAGGCTGAGCGTCCCAGGCTCCCCGGGGACCGCGCGGCTCGCAGGGGATAATTTGCCCCAGCACCTCGGGTTGCAGCACCCTCTCCCCGCACCGCCCCCCTCCCCGTTTGCAGCTGCGCGGGGACCAGAGCTTAACCCGGAGAGCCCCGCTGCTCCCGTGGATCTTACCTGGCCCCGGAGGCGTCGGGTCAGGGGCCCGATCCCTGCCGGGCGCTTCTCTGCACGGGGCCAACCGGCGCGGCCTTTGCGGGGCTCCCGCCCGGCCCGAGTGCGGGAGGCCCCGCTGCAGCTGAGTCAGCGCCCCGGCAGAGGCGGCGACCGAGGGGGGCTGTGAGCTGAGCCGCAGCCGCCCGGGCATTTTAAAGGCGAAACCCTGGATGCGGTTCAAGCGGGAAGGCGGGGCGCGCGGCACGGACGGCCCCCGCCGGGGGCGCAGGCCCGTCTGGGGGCCCCTCGCCCGCATCCCTCCTGGCGCCCCCGAAGGCGCCGCCCCGTCCTGCGGAAGCGCCGCCCCGCAGCCCGCAAGCCGCATCTTCTCCGCCAGACCCGAGCCCGCATAGCCGGGACAGTGGCCTCTGCCATGGAACCCGGGGGGATCCCGGCCAGGGCAGCCCCGCAGATCCTGACTGAGCTCCCGGGGGACGAGGACTCGCCCTGCTCCCGACCTGGGCTCAGGTGCGCGCTCGCAGGAGCCCGCGACGCGCGGGACGCGACTCCTGCAAAGTAAGGGAAGCCAGGGCGGGCGGGAGGGCCAGTGCAGACCACGCAGCTGGTCCGCATGCATGCCCAGGTCCGCTCGGACGGATAGGTGCGGGGCGGGCACGGAGTTGGGAGCGGCGCGGGGAGCGCGGTGCTGGTGGGGGTCCGGCCGGCCGGGTCCCCACGCCGCAGGGAGCCGCTGGGTGTCTGGGGAGGCCAAGAAGAAGCCCCGCAGGTTGCGCTTCCCGGGGCGCCGCAACGCTGGCAGGGGCTGGATGCGCGGTCCCCAGGCACGGACTCAGAGGCAGGAGAAACTCGGGGACGCTGAGCTGCCCGTTCCCGCGCCCTGCAGTGTGAATGGCTGCCTGCGAGTTCTCGCGTGAATGCAGGTTCTCATGTGAAAGCATGTTCCCACGGATTGGGGTGGGGGGGTGGGGGTTCCCGCGCGAACATAGGTTCCCGCGTGAACGTGAACGCAGGTTCCCATGTGAAAGCACATGCCCATGGTTGCTGGAGTTCCCGGGCGAACACGTGAAAGCAGGATCCCATGATTGTGGGAGTTCCTGCGGGAACACAGGTTCCTGCGTGAACACAGTTCCCATGTGAAAGCACGTTCCCATGATTGCGGGAGTTCCTGTGCGATCACAGGTTCCCACGTGAACACAGGTTCCCATGTGAAAGCATGTTCTGTTCCCATGATTGTGGGTGTTTTTTTTCCCGTTGTTTCTCAAGTTCTCGCATGAGCTCACTGACAGACGATGCAGGTGAAGCCGCAGGTGGCATTTGCAGGTCAGGTTGGAGCTTCTCCTCAGTTCATCCCTTCAGTTCTCAATAGGCTACTAGAGGGTCTGCTCTTGAGCTTGTGGTTGGGGGGAGACCCTTCCTGCCACCCGTTATTCTCACATGCGGATCATCCCCCACACCTTGGATGGAGAAGCCCCTTCGTGGCCCCAGTTAAGAGCTGCCCCTGAGCTGAGCCCAGGCAAGGCCCACCCCTGCCCACTCGGCCACCCCACTGCCCACATGGTTGTGGAGGCCACCTTCAGCCAGGCACCTCAGTCAGCTCAGGCCCAAGGGCCACACCTGACAGCCAGACCGGGAGGGGCTCAGAGGCCAGCATGTGCCCATCCTTGTGGCTACTGTCACTTGGATCCCACACTAGTGGTTCATTTGGTTTTTTGTTTTGGGTCACACTCTGTCTCTGCAATCTCAGAAGTCACTCCTGACTCTGTAGTCAGGAATCACTCCTGACGGTGCTCAAGGGCTCCTGTGGAATTGTGGGGATCAAACCTGGGCTGGCCACGTTCAAGGCAAACACCATCCCCACTGTACTATGGCCCCAGGCCCCATGTGACAGATTTTTCTCTGTGAAACAATACCAGTGTATTTGGGGCTTGGGATCCTCCTCCAGGCAGAGTCTATGCTTGGCCCTTGGAGCCCTTCCCAGCCCCCAGCAACTTGTCCGTCTGTGGAGACTGAAATCCACAGAAAGAGTCATTAGGTCTGCAGGGCAGGAGCTGTCACTGAGGGGCAGGCATTGCCCATGAGTACAGCATTGGGGGAAGCTTGGCAGGTGATCTTGAAGCCCCCTAAAGCTGTCACCCTTGTGGCACAAATCTGCTCCTTGGACCCGGTGGCCACCCCTGGAATCCAGAGTTCAGGCTGGGAAAGGTTGAGTGGTTCAGCCAGGAGCTGGCCAATGGCCAGGCCCTGTCTGGGACATGCCGTAGAACGCCCACTCACTGTTCTCACCCCAGTGCGTCTGATACTCTGAGGCTGAGGAGTGAGGCAGTTTCCCCCTGAACAGGGCCACACTCTTCTCTAGATGCCATATGACTGTCCCTTCTGGATACAGGGTGGTGTGGGTGGAGAGGAAGTCCCATCCATGTGTCCCATCCTGTAGGATGCTCAGTACTTGGACCCCCGTGCGTCAGGCAACAGGCGGGAGCATCTGGTTCCCTGCCTGCAGACCCCTCCTGAGGGGCAGAAGGGGTCCCAGCGGCGGCAGCCAAGCTCCCAAGAGGCTGTCTCAAGAAACATGGACTTGCTGACCTCCAGTTACCGTCTTTGCAGGAGTTAAAGGCCCAGCTCACAGTTCCTGCAGGCCACAGGGCCTGGACCCAGCTGGAGAGAGTCTGCACCCTGGTGGCACAAGGGGCCCTCTCCTATCCAGGCACAGAGATGAGGGGGAAACCTAAAGGTGAAAGCAGAGGAGACAGGCAGGAGCACCGCAGTAAGAAAGTAAGCACTGTCCCATGCGGGCCGTGCACACAAGTGTGCTTTTTTGCATGCACGTGTGTGCAGGCATCTTGTGGGCATGCGTGGCTGTGTATACATATAATGCACATACAGTGTATGGGGAAATGCCCCACTCGGGGAAGGGAGGTGAAGAGGGGGTTGGGGGGATTACAGACATGGATTGAGAGTGCTGTTGGAGGTCTTGTCTGTCCAGGGCTCCCGAGGAGGGGTGGTCTGCTAGGGGTAGTGCCCACCCAATAGATCTGTCTTGGATGTCTTGTGCTTTCCCGTTTTCGGTCCCGGCCTTCCTGTTGAGCCCAGTTCTCAGGCCAATGACTGTCCCCTGACCTCCTCGGTCCAGGGTGACCACAGTGTCCCCAAGGCCACCCGCGCTGCCCGGGACAGAATCTTACTTCTCTGGCTTTGTCTCCTGCCACCCGACTATTCTCACGGGTGCCCGACACGGCTGGGTGCCCGGCACGCTGGGGATTGTGCCAGCATGGTCGAGTTTGTCCAGCAGTCACATGAACAGCACGAGGGGCCCCTTCCACGGCTGCGGGGCCGGGGCGAGAGGCCACTGCTCGCCGCGTGCCCCCCAGGGCCACTTATTTCTTGCTCATTTTACTGCTCGCTGCTGCAGCGGGCGGGATGGGCATGAAGCACCTCTCGCCCGTGCTCACCTCGGGCAGGGTCCCTGCAGGTACCCCGCACAGATGCCAGCTCCCGGCTTGGGGGGTATGTGTGTGTGTGGGGGGGGGCACCCGCGGCGACAGTCCCGGACTCGGAGGGGGCCCTGGGCCGGGCCGGCCGGGCTGTCCGGGGCCGTCCAGGGCCGCGCCCCAAGGCCAAGTGCTCGGCGCGGCGCCCTTTGTTCCCGCGGAGTCTCCAGGCCCGCCGCCCCCGGAATACCAATGCGCTCCCCGCCCCCGGCCCGGGGCGTCCCCGCCCCCGCGGGCCAGCACCTGCGCGGCTGCCGGCCGGCCCGGGGGTCCGCGCCCGCTCCCCAAGTCTCGCGGTGCTGCGGCCGGCCGGGACCCCCGCCGCGTGACAAAGCCCGGCCGGGCGGCGGGCGCCGAGCGCGTGGGAGCCGCCGGCCTTTGTGTGGCGCCGCGCAGGCTCCGCGGGCCGCCCGCCGCCCGCAAGATGGCCACGCCGGCCGCCGCCAGCCCCGCGGGTGAGTCGCGCGCCCCCCGCCCGGCCGGGCCCCGCGGGCGGCGGGCGGGGGTTTGGGGCCGGGTCCCGCGCCGCCGGGCCCCCTCCGCGCCCGCCGGGCGAACCCCGCCCCCACCGCGGGCCCGGCCCAGCCAGCCCAGCCCAGCCCGGGGAGGGGGGACGGGCAGGGGGCGCTGGTGGAAGCGGGTCCCGCGTCCGGACCCTCCTCCTGCCGGCCCGGGACCTGGGACGCCGGACCCGGACCGAGGCAGGGGCGATCGCCGGCTCCCCGCCCCCGCTGGGGCCGCTGGGAGGGGACGGCGGAGAGGACGGGAAGGGAGGGGTGGGAGTCGCGCCCCCGAGGCGGGGGCTGCACGGGGGTGCGGGGGTGCGGGGGCACGGGGTGGGGGGAAGCTTCTGAGTGTGGGCGCCGGCCTAAGGGGGGCCTGGCCGGCGGGGAGGGGTCTGTGCTGACGGGGAGGGGGCAGTGCTGGGGGAGGGGTCTGTGCTGGGGTTGAGGGGGCAGTTCTGGGAGTGAGGGGGGCATGCTGGAGGGGAGGGGACAGTGCTGCGGGCCGGCGAGGGGGACGCGCTGGAGGCGAGAGAGCAGCTGGAGGTGAGGAAAGGGTCCCCGGTGGTGGCGTCTGTGCTCAGACCCGCAGAGGGAGATGGGGGTCAGTAGGAGAGCAGTCCAGGGAGACACAGGTGAGGGGTCCCCGGACACAGAGGTGAGGGTCCCCCAGTCACGGGTGGTGGCCTCCTAGCGTAGGTGAGCGTCCCCCAGTTGCAGGTGAGGGTCCCTCATTCATCGATAAGGGTCCCTGATCACAGGTGAGGTCCTCCAGTTTCAAGTGAGGGTCCCCTTCCAGTCTCAGGTAAAGGGCCCCCTGCGCAGGTGAGGACCCGCGGTCACAGGTGACCCAGTGGCAGGTGAGGAGTGCAGGAGTGGCTGGGGGCTGCTTGTACCCAGACCCAGATTGTCCTGAGGTTGCAGATGGTTTCAAGGAGCAGAGCACAGAGGCCTCTCTAAGCCCCGCGGGCTGGGCCGCCTGACCCTGTCTGAGAGCCGCGCTCCTAGGAGCCTCCTCTCCTGCTCTCGGAGTAGACTGGTCTGGCGTCTTCAGGAGCCTGGTCCCATTGGCGTGGTGCTCTGCTGACCTGGGGAAGTTGGCCGTGTGAGAGCTCATGTACAGGTGTGGCACTGGGGGAGCTGTGAGGAGGGGAGCCTCGGCTCACCGACCCTCAGTAGCTCCTGGGCTGAATGAGTTGCAAACTCAGACAGGGACTGACTGTTTCCTTGCACACGGCCTGAGCTGCTTGTCTTGACAGACTCCAAAGCCCCTTCCACGAGCTTTTGGGGGGGGGGAGGACTGCAGGTTGGGGCCAAACATGGCGGTAGTCAGGGGCTCTGTGCTCAGGAGTGAGCCCTGGCAGTGCTGGGACACAGGGGACACCTGTACTTGGGGATTGCAAGGCAAGTGCCCCATCTCTGCAGCCCCTTTGTGCGTGCGTGGGGGGGAGGGGGAGGGGCTTTCATTTAATTTTGGAAGCTAACTTACTGCTTCCGTGCCCACATGATCCGTGCTTGCATTGTACTTGCAGTCATAGTCTGGGAATGTAAAATCCCTTATTTTGTGTGTATAATGTCGCTGCAGGAACTTGTGTTTGCCATTCTGAGACCCCCCCCACCCCCACCCAGCCTTCCCCTCCCGCCCCACTCCTTCCCTCTGCCTCCCTTTGTTTCTCAGCTGCCGGGGGACCCCTCACACAGGAGCGTTTGTGGTGGTACTGGTAGGGATGTCTGATGGGACCCTCCTGGGAAAGGAGTCTACCTGCTGCTTTGGGGGTCTGCCTGCTGTGTGCCCCCGTGGGCAGGGTGGACATGGATGTCAGCTGCTTATGCTTGGGAGGACATGGTGCCAGCTGGAGTTGGGATAGTGGCCCGTTTGTCCAAGCCTGTGACAAGTGACGAGCTGCTGTGCCCTGAGCCGGGTCTCATGACTGGGTATATTGGCTCGGAAGCGGCTGGTGTGTGTGCCCATCTCCAGAGTGCCCTGGAACTTTCTCCAGGGCTGAGCCCTGCAGGGCACAGTGGGAACCGGCTCTCTCCGATCTGCTGCTCTGGCAGCTTCTCACCTCCAGGTGGCACCGTGGTACCGGGTTGATCCTGCTGCTCCTCCCTGCAGTTAGTCGGAGGCCTTGGTGCCCTAGAGACTGGGGGTGCCGGTCGGCTGGGATGGGTTGTCTTGTCCCGTCCAGTCCAGCAGGGGGCCGCAGTCACAACCAGCCTCTGGAATCCCGTAGCTGCTGTGTGGGTGGCCGTGGCGAAGGGATGGTGTGGAGCCTCTTCCCTAGTACGGATCTCCATCATTCTGCTCCTCAGCTGGGGATTAATCCTGCTTCCTTCCTGTTAGTCCAGGGCCCCCGACCCCTGCGGGGTGGCCTTGCTGGTCCCCAGTGTTGCAGTGCTTGTACTTTGAGTCCTGTTTGGTCGAGAACTGCCAGGAGGGTCCCTGAGCACTTCTTGGGACCACCCTCCCCAGCAATTGATGTCAGTCACACGCCACATAGACACCCACAAATGCTACAAAACGACCCTTTCAGCCCCTAGTGTGCTGCTGTGACGTCCGAGACACTGTGTGCCAAGCTCCTGAACCATCAAACTGCTTTACAAGGTGCCTTCACATCAGATCTGCCCACTCCTCTCGGCACGGCCATCTCTCCTTTCCTGGGAGGATGCCAGCACCCATCATGACCCCGTCGGCTAGGATGGGCCCTAGCTCCTGAGAGCTATGTTTGCACAGCAGCCAGGAAATGATGGTGTCAAAAAATGCACAGAAGTAGGGCATTGATCAGGGGGCTGGATAGAAAAAATATACAAGGTGCTGGAGAAAGAAGGCAGAGGGGCAGGCAGAATCCTTGCTTCTCATCCCCGGCACTATATATCATCCCCCTAACCCTGCCAGGTATGACCCCTGAGCACTGTTAGCTATGCCCCCGGCCAAAAAATAAATTACTCACATCCATGAGTGAAGAGTTTGTGAGTGAGAACGAGTGTGGAACAGACAGCAACACAGACTTAGCCTGAGTGAGTCGGGGGCCTGCAGGGGGTCGACCGGCTGTGGCTCTGTGCCTTCAGGGACCAAGGCCACGGTGTCCCCAGAATTATCACACACTAGCCTGAGCAAGTGGAAGAGGCAACCTGAACTGGGGGCAGTGGGCCACATGCCATCCTCTCTCCTCTTGCTTTGGACTCCTGATCCTCAGACTCAGGTTCCGTTGGGCACAGCCGGTCCCTGGACTCTCTGAGAAGGACACGGGGGCTACGTTGCCCACAGCGCTGACCCTGGTGGCCCAGGCTTGGGTCAGCCTGAGATTGGTGCGCTTGGCTGGTCCAGGGGGGCCCTGGCCTCCCATCGCTTTGTCCTCTGTCTTCAGGCTTCTCTGTGCTCTCTGCCCTTCCCCTGAGTCTGGCATGGTCCCTGGCCCATCGGGGTCTGTGCTGCCCCCTGCCCTGGGCTCTAGTAGAGCCTCCAGGGGATCGCCCTGCTTCTCAGCTCTGGGGCATTGCACCTGGATGTCCCCGGGGTTCCAGTGCATGGTGCGTATGTGTGAGGGGAGTGGCTCGGGGCTCGCTGGGGCCTCTTGAGCACCTGGCCTGCCTTCCCCCTTTCCTGGACCCATGGGTCACCCTGTCCCCTGCCTGCCACCTGTTTCACAGAGAGTCCTGGTCCTGCCTGCCAACTGGACCAGCAGAGCTACCACTCCCACAGACGGTCTTTGGGCACTATGGCCTTCCCCCCAACCCCCGCTGCTCCCCAGAGAAAGCCTTGGCTGGGAGCCCCAGTCAGGCGCCTTCCAGAGCTGAAGTGGTTAATGGGGCTGCAGGCGCGTTGATCAGTATGCAAGACAGTTGTCACGGCTGAATCACGGCCTCGTGGAGGTAAACAGTGACGACACGGCGGCCAGCCGAATACGGATGCGGCCGGCTCCTCTGCGGTGCGCTAGCTCCCGCAGCCCCAGGCCTCCCCAGGACGACCACACAGGCCCGGGGGCTTTGTCTCCCCTGGAACTTGGGGCTCCGGGAGAACTGTGGGGGACCAGTGGTGGCCGCACCTGGCAGGACTCTCATGGCGTCGTCTCTGCTTCCAGCGTGAAGGTCAGGCCGCTGATCTGAGCCCTGTGAGGTGGGGAGCAGGCTGGAGGTCCCCCTTCCCCGAGGCCTGTCCCGGAGGCCCTCCAGCTCCTGTCCTTGTGTGGCTGTGCCAGGGCCTGGCTTCCTGGGTGCCGGGGGGCCGGGGGGGGGGCTGCACACCCAGTGCTGGCAGAGGAGTGGGCACAGCCTGCCGTGGGGGCCTCGGCCTGTGGATGGTGGGACAGAGTAGACGATCCTCTTGGTTCTGGACTCTGGGGTCTGGTTGGTGGGATGAGGCCCCATGTGGGACATGGTGACCCCATGGGAGCCCCCCCCCACCTCCCGCCCCCAGCCTCTGCCTGCCTGGACCAGAGGGAGCCCCCTTGTGGCCACAGCCAGAACAGAAGCACCACATCCACCCTGGTCTGGGAGTGGGGGATGGGGTGGCCAGTCCAGAGGCTTTGGGAGCAAGAAGGGGAAGCAGGGGAGTGGGGTGGTGGAGGTCAGTTCTGCCCGTGCCACAGTTCCACGTGGGGTGGCAGGGACAGTCTGGGGCAGTGGGCGGGATTCTGGCTGGAGCAGCCTCGGTAGAACATTGAGATGTTGTGGGGGCTCCTGCCTTGCCGGTCCCCATGGGCTCACATGCCCTTTCCTCAGGCTCCAGCCAGGGCGCCAGGAGCCAGGACTGACTCCGTGAGAAGCTGTGACGCAAGAGATTTTGGGGGACACACACAGGACTGTGCCCAGTGGTGCTCAGGGACCACGCGAGGCCCGTGGCTGCTGCACACACCATCCCAAGATGGAGATGCTGTCTCAGGACGGGGTGTACCCTGGCCTGCCCGTGGGTGAGGGGGACCCCGGGTGCAGGCCCGGGCTCTCAGCCCGTGCTGTCTCTGCTGCCTTCCAGAAATGGCTTCGGACATGCCCAGCTCCGTGGCGCTGCCCGTGGCCCCCATGGCGGCCGCCGGGCAGGTGAGGATGGCGGGGGCCTTGCCTGGCCGGGGAGGAAAGAGACGCTCTGGGTAAGCAACACGGCCGCTGCCGGAAGGGCCCTGCCTGGAATTCCTCGCCCTTCTCGCAGCTGAGGCTCCGCATCCTGTTTAGATTTTGCAAGCCCCCCATGTGCTGTGACGGGCGCCAGCTGGGCACTGCTGTGTCTGGAGCCTCTCCCTTCTCGTCCCTACCCCCCCCCCCCCACCGTTCCCACAAGGGCCGTGGGTCAGCCTGCTCCCCACCAGGGGACGCCAGCATCCAGGTCCTTTCCCAGGGCAGCTGTGTCCCAGAGTCCTAGGCACGAGAGCTGAATCTCTGTGTCCACACTCAGGGAGATTCCTGACTGACCCCGCTGCCCTTGGGCACAGGGGTCCTGAGCACCAGGAAAGCTCCCAGTGGGGCATTGTCTGCGGGGATGGTCTTGCACCGGGACACACCTGATCTCCCTGCTCAGGGCTCTGAGGGGCAGGAGAGTGAGGACAGGGTGCCCAGGGTTCTGATTTATGGGGATGCTTTGTGCAGCTTCTCTGCAGGGGGCCGGGGGATCCTTCCTCTCTGTGTCAGAGCCTGGCAGGACTTGTGTGCAGGGCAACGGGAGCTCAGCTCAGACCAGTGTGACAGAGTCTGGGCCCCCTCTTGCTCCCCAGTGTCCCTGCACGCACTTCTCCCTCTGTCCTGGCAGTGAGGTCTCCTCCTCTCAGGCACTGTCTGTCCTGCCGCCCTCTAGTGCCCCCAGTGACTCCTTTATGTTGGAGGGGACACACCCAGCAGTGCTTAGGGCTTGCTCCTGACTTGGCGCTCCTCGCTGGCTGTGCACGGGGGACCGTTTGTGGTGCCAGGGGTCGAACTTGAGTCGGCTGTGTGCCAGCCCTCTCTGCTCTCCTGTCGCTCCAGCCCTGCACTAACTCCTTTTGTCCCAGCATGTCGCTTGCACTGGTGTGGCTGTGGGGCTGGCAGTGGGGGTCCCTGAGTGGGGAGGGGTATCCACACAGCCCTGCTGCCCAGACCTGGGGGGAACTCTTGGACCAATTCCCTGAGCCCCAGCTGCCCTCATCCCTGCCCCTGACACCCTGGCCCTAGCAGCCCCGCGCCTGTCCACTCTGTGCCCTCCGACTCTCAGTTCTGACTTTTCAGGATGGACTTTGAGGACGAAGATGGTGAAGGGCCCAGCAAATTCTCAAGGTGAGTCGTGGTGCCCTGGATGGCCTGGGGCAGGGGTGGGGGTCCAGGGTAAGCCTGGCATCTGGTAGAGCAGCCTCAGCTGTAGCTCCGCAGGGAGCGCGTCCGGGGCACCCACCTGCCACCCACCCCCTGCGCTGACCCTCTCTCTCTCCCCACCTCGCGCCCCCTCCTGCTTGCGGGAAGAGAGAACCACAGCGAGATCGAGCGGCGCCGGCGGAACAAGATGACGCAGTACATCACTGAGCTGTCGGACATGGTGCCCACGTGCAGCGCGCTGGCCCGGAAGCCCGACAAGCTGACCATCCTGCGCATGGCTGTGTCACACATGAAGTCCATGCGGGGGCACCGGCAACAAGTCCACTGACGGCGCCTACAAGCCGTCCTTCCTCACTGAGCAGGTGTGTCCCGAGCGTCCCCCACGTACTCCACAGCCCACTTACAGGACATTGGGTGTCCAAGGTTTGGGGGTATCTTGGGGGGATGGGGTGGGGACACATCCGGCGGTGGTCAGGGCTTACTCCTGCCTCTGCACTCAGGGATCACTCCTGGCAGCTCGGGGAGCCCTGTGGGATGCCAGGGATCAAACATGGGTCGACTGTGCCCAAGGCAAATTCCTTCGTTCCCGCGTGCTCTCGCTCTGGCCTCGTGGGTGCCCAAGTTTGCTGGACAGACTTATGGGTGTAGAGGGCCTGGCTCTACCTCCTCACTTAGTGCCAGGCGTTGGGCCGGCATTTGTGCTCAGTGACTGGCTGCTTTGACTGTGTTACTGAGGCTCTGCCCAGGCTATCACCTCGGTGCCTCCTGTGTGGGGGGCTGGGGCCTCAGTCGGGTCTGGAGCCTTCTGCGAGCATGGAGAGTGGCAGCCTTGCCCATGCCCCTGGTGTGCTCAGACATCGAGGCTGCCTTGGGCCAAGTCTGGAGAAGTTGGGAAGCGGGGTGCCCAGGCCCAGCACCGTCTCCCCCTCCCAGGAACTGAAGCATCTCATCCTGGAAGCTGCGGATGGCTTTCTGTTTGTGGTGGCAGCCGAGACGGGGAGGGTGATCTACGTGTCCGACTCGGTCACCCCCGTTCTGAACCAGCCGCAGTCGGAGTGGTTCGGGAGCACGCTGTACGAGCAGGTGCACCCCGACGACGTGGAGAAGCTGAGAGAGCAGCTGTGTACCTCGGAAAACTCCATGACAGGTGAGTGCTGGGCACTGGGAGGGAGCGTCTGCAACATAGCAGGCCCATGGGGCGGGCACACGCCGGACTTCCTTGAGAAGTTTCATCCTCTGGATGCGTAAAAACTCTTCAGTACGTTTAAAAAACTTGCAGAACCCCTGCTGTGTTTTACCTGCAATATGGGAACGTGGACACCAGGAGGCAGTGTTGCCACAAGAGCCAGCGCTAAGGCCCTAATGAGATTAATGAGGCCCTAATGAGCTGGACAGGGGCAGGGGGGAGTGGGGAGGCTGTGACTGATTGTCCCCAGGACATCCCAGGCTGGATCCCTGAGATGCCAAAACACAGAAACAATTTAATAGTGTCAACTCCATGACGGCAGAGTAGAGCAGCTTGCTGAGCGGGGAGGGGAGGGGAGTTTGAGAAATCGCAGCTGTGAGCCCCAGCCTCTGACCAGGCCTCTGACCTTATTCCCGTTCTGGTTGCCGGAGTCTGCACCGCAGCTCCTCCAGGGCCTCACTGAAAGGCGTTGTTGCGTCTCTGAGTCAGGGCTGGGAGCTCTTCGTGGATTTCTGTTGTCCAGGGCAGGAATCAGGTGCTTTCTGGGGTGAGGAAAGCGTGTTTGAGGGGCTGGAGCAGTAGCACAGCGGGGAGGGCGTTTGCCTTGTACGCGGCCGACCCGGGTTTGATTCCCAGCATCCCATGTGGTCCCCTGAGCACCACTAGGGGTGATTCTTGAGTGCAGAGCCAAGAGTAACCCCTGTGCATCACCGGGTGTAACCCAAAAAGAAAAAAAAAAGGAAAGTGAGTTTGGGGTAATCTCAGCACTGGCTGTGCCCTCTGGCCTGGCCTGAGGCCACCGGCAGGAGCCTCGGCTGTGGGGGGGGCCTCTTACTGGAAACTAGGTCCAGGGGTTCCCCTGACATCCCGTCCACCCCACAGCTCCTGAGCAACCGTTCCCACTGTGCGTCCTGCAGGTAAAACGTTTGTGTGGCCTCGGCTGCGTGTGGCACGGCGTGGCCCTCCTGATACTCGCTTCTTGGGTTCATGGGGAAGAGCAGCTCATGAGTGACAGTCACCTGTCTTGGCTGTGGCTTCCCGTCACTCGGTGCCACCAGATAGCAGGGTTGTGCCTCGGTGCACTTGTGGCTGTGTGTGTAGGAGGGGTCCTGGGTTCCCCACCAGTGCGGTGCATTCCAGCTCCTGGGCATTCTCACGTGGCACAGAGCCCCCGTTGGTGGTGATACAGTCCACCACCCTTTCCAACTAGGGTCAGCCCCGGCCTCAGTTTCCTCACCTGTAATTACGCAGCACATCCTCCCACAGAGGCAGTCTTTAGAGTTTAGTCCTAGTCCTCGGAAAACTCCATGACAGGTGAGTGAGTGCCGGGCGCTTGGGGAGCATCTGCAAGGGGGCCCTGCTCGGGATTCCTGCAGACGCACGGCATGAAGAGCCCGTAGGTGTGTGTGGCATAGCCTCCCTCTAGGCAGCACCTGTGAAGTTTGGAATCAAGGCTTTGTGCACAGACAGACGCCCTTGGTGGCTCACAGGTCCCCACCCTGGCCTCCGCTCTCCCCCAGATGTGGCAAGAGGTTCAGGAAACTGTTTAAGGGGACCCAGGGAGTCGAGGTTGAAAGTGTCCTGTCAAGGCTGCCCCACACAGAGCAAGCCCAAAACCAAATCCAAACGCGGAGACGTGAACGACTAGCGTGACTCAAAGGAAGGCACTTGGAAATGATGGGAACAACACAATGTGGAAATTGTCAGCAGTCAGCAACTGTTGCAAAACCAGGCCCTTCCAGGCCTCTGCAGGAGTCTGGATTTCTTAACCCAATGGGACACTTCCTGGCCAAGAGAGCAGGATATGCTCACCACAATAGCCCAGGAATGAGCAGATTGACCTCACGAGCACCAGAAGGACCCCTGCCAGGTGCTTGCTTCACCGACCCCCATTTGGCACCAGGGCCCGGTTCTGACCCCCACTTGGCACCGAGGCCCGGTTCTATGCTGCTGTGCTCAAAAATAACTCGATTGCAAAACTCTCCGTGGGATCAAGGAAATTAAAATAGTTTCCTTTAGCTTCACTGAAAAAATAGATTCCCCCATGGGCTCATCCTGACTCACGGTGAATAGTTTGTGGGACCCCACGGGGCACTGGTCTCTCTCACCGTCCTGCATCCCTTGGTTCTGTGAACCCCCTGGCCCCCCAGAGCCTGTGCAGGCAGGTGGCTGGTGGCTGCTCTCAGCTGTCCCCTACCTGGGGGAACACAGGACTGTCCAGCCCGTGATCCCTCATGTGCAGCCTTCCCCCCCACCCCCCCACCCTTGCTAGACCCCCTGTTTCCAGTCACCATTTTATTACACCCAGTGGACAGGTCATGCTCCATTTCTGTGTGCCCCGATGGCCACAGACAGAATCAGTTATTTGATGTTGTGCTGGGCCCACACCATGTCCAGCCGACCTAGCCTGGCCAGTCCACTCTTGCTGCCGGGGCTGGCTCAGCCTCTTCCTCTGTGGATGGGGCAAGGGGAGGCAGCTCTCCCCTCTCAGCCTCACTCTGTCAATGGACCATCGTCTTGGGGCCATTTGCTGCCTTCCATGTAGGCCCCCCAGCCGAGGCTCAGGCCCCTCCACCAAGGGACCCCCCCCCCCGCACACACAGCCCTTCACTCTGGGGGCACCTCGCCCACAGCTCCTCCACCCCGGAGAGCCCCCTCCCGCCCACAGCCCCTCTATCCCAGGGGTCCTCCCACCCCCCGCCCCCCGCCCACGGGCCCTCCGCCCGGGAGCCCCCAGTGGCATGTGAGCAGGCCTGAGGCGCGGGCCCACATTGCTGGCATTCTTGTAGCGTGATGCCTCACAAGGAATGCGTTTCCCCAGGTCACGGGTCTGAAGCGGTGCAGAGCTTGTCCTGTCGGCAGCAGAGGTGTCGGGTCACACGGCCGGACGGCGTGTCTGTTGGAATGTGGGTCTGGAGATGGCGGGGGTGGGGGTGAGGCCCATGTTGGTCTGGCCACAGAAGCTGCCCCAGCCAAAGTTCTCCCGGGCAGGGCACCCCACGTCCTTTCGGCCAAGCCCTTCTAGGCTCCTGCCTCTGCACATACCCCATGTCCCAGGGCCTGGCGGCTGCAGGACAAGGCAGCCTGACCGGGCGATGCCTTGGTGCCATCTCTGCCCCTTGCTGCCCCGCTGCTGGCATCAGCCCCAGGCCCTGCCCCCTTCATCTCACCTAGGAAAGCAGGTGCTGAGGGATGGTTCCAGGCCCGCCCCTGCCCTGCTCTTGTGGGCAGCCCCAGGTCCAATGTGGCAGAGCAGGGCTGGCACTGGCTACCTGTCAGATCAAAGTCCTGCGTTTCCAGCAGCTGCCACTGTTGCCCATGCCCGACCCAGGGACCTGATGGCGGGGCTGCCCGAGTCCTGCGCCAGCCTCTGCTCCTGCTCCTGATATGTCAGAGCTCCCCGACAGATGGAGCCGTGTGGGCCCCCGCGAGGGATCTGTTCCCGTGTGCCCAGCTGCTGCGGGCGGTTGGACTCTCTGAAGGCAGGACATGGCATTGCTGGAACAGAACCAGCATGGCCCGGTCTCTGGGCACCTGTTCTGGGGGGCCACACGTTTTTGGAACAATATCGCATGATCTCCATGGAGAGGCCGGTGGCTTTGCTATCGTTGCTAATGAGGTTCTCTTCTTTTCCTCCCTGCTATCTTGTTTTCTTCCCTTTCCAAACCCAGATAAGATGTTTCCAGTTTTCTTAAGGAATCTTCTGCTGAAATAATTCACATTTCTGTTTGTACTTCCACCTTAGCTGGGAGCCTCTGTTTAAGTACAAAGCCTGCATATGAGAGAAACTTTGGACTCTTCCTTCGTCCAAAGTTACTGCGGGCCAGAATGTCCCTAGAGGCCACTCCCTGAAGAGTGGGGGCCTGGCCGGGGAAATCTGTGCTTCTGAAGCCCTCAGGCTCCCAGGCTGGGTTCTGAGAAATCTCTGGAATCAGGCCATCACCCTGGTTTGGGTCATGGTCCTTTGGAGGCCTGGTCTGAAGCTTTTCAGTTCTCGGGGAGAATTTGCAGTTAAGCCCCCGAGCTGCACCCTGCTTCTCCCCAGGAAGTGCTTGACCCTTGCTCTGCTGCCTGCTGGTGCGGGGAGCACTGGGGTGGACACTCCAGGCCACTGAGGCACCCTGTGGAGACTGTGACCCCACCCACCCTAGGTGCTTCTGCCATCGTGCTTCCTTATTGGACAGTCCTCAGACAGAAGCTGGGGTGAGGGGGTTCATGTGCCTTTGTCCTGAGGGGTGCCCAGAGGATCCCCACACGATGCTGTGAGCACTCAGAGTGACAGCCATCCTGGGCGAGTGTGCCTGCGTCAGAGGTGGAGCACAGAGACTGCCTCTTACGGAAAGAGCAGTTCACCTGAGCACAGAGAGGGACAGGCTTGGAGGCCGACCCCTAGGGTGGGGGTGGGGCTCCTCAAGATCTGGCACAGCAAAAACACCTGGGACCTGTTGGGAGGATGAGCACAGGGATGGATGAATGGATGAGTGGGTGGAGGGATGGGTGGGTGGTGTGGGGGGATGGGTGAGAGTGAGTGGGTGGTGAGTGGGTGGAGGGATGAATTGGTGGTGAGTGGATAGAGGGATGAGTGGGTGGTGAGTGGGTGGAGGGATGGGTGGGTGGTGAGTGGGTGGAGGGATGAGTGGGTGGTGATTGGGTGGAGGGATGAGTGGGTGGTGATTGGGTGGAGGGATGAGTGGGTGGTGAGTGGATAGAGGGATGGGTGGGTGGTGAGTGGGTGGAGGGATGGGTGGGTGGTGATTGGGTGGAGGGATGAGTTGGTGGTGATTGGGTGGAGGGATGAGTGGGGTGAGTGGGTGGAGGGATGGGTGGGAGTGAGTGGGTGGTGAGTGGGTGGGTGGTGATTGGGTGGAGGGATGGGTTTGGGGTGAGTGGATAGAGGGATGAGGGCTGAATGGACGGAGGGATGGTTAGTTGGTGAGTGGGTAGAGGGATGGGTGTGGGTGAGTGGTTGGTGAGTGTGTGGAGGCATGAGTTGGTGGTGACTGGGTGAAGGGATGGGTGGGTGTGAGTGGATGAGGGATGGGTGGGAGTGAGTGGGTGGTGAGTGGGTGGAGGGATGAGTAGCTGGTACGTAGATAGTGAGAGATCAGGAAGTTCTGCTTGAGGGACCCAGAGAAGACTCCCAGGAGCTGGTTGAGGTTTTCTGGCGAAGGTGGTTCAGGGGGCACGTGTGAGCTGGAGTAAGGACCTGCAGAAAGGACCGTGTCTGCCTTGGCGATGTGTGGGTGCTTTGTGGCATGTTCAGGGGTGCTCCCCACAGAGCCCCTGGATGCAGCTCTGAGCTCTGGAGGTGGAAGGTTCCAAGAGCAGAATTGGACACCCCCACCCTTGTTTCCTTGCGAGTCTCTTGTTGAAATGCAAGTATTTGGGATATGTTGCCAAATGGGTTCCACCTGTGACCTTCGCTTTTTTAGAACGTGCCTCCCCAACATTCCCCGACATTCGGCGGCGGCTCTCACTGTTTCTCTTGGACAGGGATGGGAATGTGGGAGGAATGGGCCATGTGCCAGGCAGGGGATCCGGCAACTCCTGTGAGTGCTGGATCGCCAGTGAAGGGGGCGGGGGGGGGGGGCGTTGCAGCTGACACGGGTCTCCATGGCCGGGGCAGTGGCAGGAAGGTGCCTGGCAAGGTTCGGGGGTCATGACACCGCTGGGGTCTGATGGTTCCATGTTGGTGGTGAGGCCTGGGGGGAAGCCGACGAGGGGTTTGGGGGTGCGGACGCAGAATCAAACCCCTGGGAGCCTCTGGCCCTGGCCTGGGGATGCTGCCAGAGAGGGGAGATTTGGTACCATCACATATTCTGGTCTCAGGAGTTTGTGGTGGCCTTGGCCAACGTCAAGGGGGCACCTGGGGGCTCTGAAAGTGATGGAGTCTTTACGGGGGATTTTGGGTCACTCTGGACAGTGCTCAAGGGTTACTCCTGGCAGTGCATGGGGGACCCTATGGGATGCCAAAGGTCAAATTCGGGTGGGCTGCGTACAAGATAAGTGCCCTCCTGCTGTCCTGTCACTCTGGCTTCTGGAGGTGATGGAGTCTTGACAGGCCGACACCGGTGTAGACACTCTTCGAAGAAAGCAAAGTGGTCAGGATTGTTCGCGCCTCCTCTCCGCATGTTTCCTACCAGATACCAGGAATCTCGGGGGCCAGTTCTGGGTGGTGGGACCCTGTGCCCCACTGCACTCCTGGCCGGGAGCTGACTCAATGCCCCCCCCCCCACCTCGCCCCCGCAGGCCGCATCCTGGACCTGAAGACAGGAACAGTGAAGAAGGAGGGACAGCAGTCGTCCATGCGCATGTGCATGGGCTCACGCCGGTCCTTCATCTGCAGGATGAGGTGTGTGTGCGTGGGTCCCACCCTGGACAGCAGCGGCCCGGCCCGGAGGGGTGTCTGTGCCATGGGCACTGTCTGCATCTTCATGTCGGCTGGACTCCCACTCCCGCCCTCTTATCACTCGTCCAGGGGTTTCTAGGGCTGCTTCCAGGGGGACTGGATCGGGGGCTCATGGGGCCAAGTGCAGGCTCCTGATACAAGAGCCTAGAGCACTGGAGCGTCCCCCACCCCGGGAGTGACCCTGAACATCACTGGGCAGGACCCCAAACCCAACAGAATCAGGGTCTGTGCAGTGCAGCCCCCATGCCAACCCCTTCCCACAGGTGTGGCAATGCCCCCTTGGACCACCTCCCGCTGAACAGGATCACCACCATGCGGAAGAGGTTCAGGTGAGCGCTCTTGGAGGGGCCTCAGGGCGTGGGAGCAGTTTTGCCCACCGGGACCCAGGGCTGAGCTGGAAGGGGGCCAATGTTGTAGAGTCACTGGACCGCTGCCATGGGTTATCAGGCACTTTTATGAGGGGGGCGACGGCCAGGGCTGGGACTGTCCAGATTTGCAGGGTCCTGACAGGGTCCTGAGGAGGAGTAGGGGGTGGAGAGCGTCCACCTGCAGTCTTACAAGTATGTGTCCAGGGCTCCTGCTTGCACCCAGAGCAGCCTGGCTGCCTGCTGGGGATTCTCGGCAACACATGCCTGCATGCGCACGCACACACGCCCACGCACATACGCACGCACATGCACACATGTGGCACGCACACATGCATGCACACACATGAACACACACAACACATGAACACACACGCACAGAGTCACCCAGCTGCTCGATCCCAGAGGCCTCACCTGTCTCGGCACCTCCCTGGGAGCCAACCCCAGCCCTTCCCCTTCTCCCCAGGAACGGCCTCGGTCCCGTGAAGGAGGGGGAGCCCCAGCACGCCGTGGTACACTGCACGGGCTACATCAAGGCGTGGCCCCCCGCAGGTGAGCGGGTGTTTGCTGGCTCTCAGCCTCTCTGTCTCTGTGCGTCTTGCTCTGTCTCTGTGTCTCCATCTGTTTCTGTCTCACTCACACGGACAACCATGAGGACAGGGACGCACAGCACAGGCGTCCCAAGTCCCCTGGAAACAAGACTGTGAGGGAGCTCCTTGGGGCTTGGGATCACACACGTGAGAAAGACTCACCGCTGTGGGGCGTGGGGTACAGCCTTAAGTCTGCGGGGTACACGAGATGTCCCCAAATGCCACCCAGTCATTGTTGCCTGAGTAGACACATCTGCACCCCACCACAGGATGGCAGGAAGGTGGGAGGGAGACGGCATGTCACCAGGGCTGGGTTGGCATCTGCAGAGAACTTGGCTCCTGACCCGAGTCTGCGTGGACCACAGCCGTCCAGCCGAAGCCCCAGGAGAGTGCAGAGGGCGCCAGTGTTTATCCTGGAGGAAGCGAGACGTGATTTCGGTCTCCAAGTATTTGAGGGGGTGTTATGTATAGAGGAGTGATCTTTTGTGGAGAGTTCCAGAAGGCACAGTGCGGAGGAAAGTTACCAGGAGGTCAGTTGTCACTCCACAGGGAGAAAGAAGCATGACGAGGGGGCGAAACAGAGATACCAACACACACAGTGAGCACAGGATGCTCACAGGAACACAAACACATACACACATGTATGTAACACACTTGATCACGTACATGCACAGGTGTGTGCATGCACATGGTACCTTTATGCATATGCACACACGTGCACACGTGTACATAGACATACAACACTGCATAGTTGCGTATACAATTCACACGGTCACATGCAGACACACATTCTCTCGTGCGCTCACCTAAACCTGATAACACACACCTTCACGTGTGCGCCCACATGCACACATATGCATGACCTTTGGAAGATAGGTCTGCACGTGACAGTGGTCTGGGACCACTTCATTGTCCTTCCCAAGTAGCAGAAGAGAGGACAGGGTGCCCATGCCTGCCTCGAGGGCTCCTTGCATGGCATCGGTGCCTGGCTTGGGCCGATTGAGGGCTCACGTTTCTAGGAGTCGGCTTGGAGCAGCCCTCAGAGTGGGGCCTGCTGGAGCCTTGTTTATGGGTGAGAGAACCCTGCCTTAATCCACGCAGCCACGGCGGACTCAGGCAGCTGGGAGGCGCCTTGGACAGTGCTGGCACTGGGCTTCCAAAGCGTAGCCAAGGTTCCAGAAGGCACGAGAAGGACCATGGGTTTCCTTGTCAGCGTTCAGGACTGGCCCCCGGAGTGATCCCTGCTGTCGCCGACATCAACTGGGGTCATTTTCTCTCCGGCAATTCCCACGTTTTTCATGCCTTTTCTCATTGGCGGGAGTGACATTGAAAGAACGCAATCTGGATTCTCCAAGTGCATTTCCAGAGGAGGAGGTGACGAGGCTGGTGCTACCCAGAGAGTCGTCTGGAGGGTGGGCTGGGAAGGAATTTCACCCTGCCCGTGAAACCCGCATCCCTGGGAACATTCCCTGTGCTAGGTCCCCCCAGCTCAGGAGGGGGCCAGGCTGAGCTTGGCCGTGGTCAGGCATTGTTAGGGGCCATGGCCCCTCCTGCTCTGGATCCAACTTCCTGAGCCCAGATGGTCCACAGGCAGCCTTGTAAGCCCAGGGGTAGGCAGGGGCGTTCACCTTACTGTGTCCTGTGTGCCTGTCCCCAGCCAGTGGGCCTTCTTCCTGCCCTCACCTGACATCTGGTCGTACTCACAGCAGCTTCCATGTGTTCTTCTATATTCTGAAAGGTTTCTCTGCCATGTTACAGTGTGTTCTGGTATGTTCTGGTGTGTGCCAGAAGCCTGCCTGCGCAGCAGCCACGGTCACCCCGCCTGTCCCTCCTGTTGAGCTGAGGCGGAGAGGACCCCAGGCCTCTCCATCCCATAGGTGCCGGGGCACCTCACGCTCAGGTTGAGCCTTGTCCGTACAGCGCCTGCCGGGGTGTCACCTCACCCATGCCTAGAAACCCCAGTGAGCTGTCTGCGGACCCAGGGAGCTGGTGGCCCCAGAGCCACCCCCACTCCAGAAGGCCTGGTCGCACCTGGCAAAGTCCCCAGACCTGCCCACAGCGTGCCTGAAGCCTGAGATGATTTGGCTGGAGCCCCAGCGGCCACTTTGCCGAGCCCAGCCCTGCATGAGCTCACCCCGGCCTGTTGTTGGCCATGCTCCTGAGGCTGCCCGTCCGGGGGTGACCTGCTGGACGCTGCCCCAAGCCTGCATGTGGCCCTCCAGCCCCTGTGCTGGGGACGACTCTCGGACCCTCTCTTGCTCCTCATCTCTGCACTGGGTGTCCCTTTGCACTCAGGGGGTTTGCTTAGTGCTGGGGTCACTGCTGACTCGGGTGGGCTCAGGAATGAGGCATGTGGAGGGCACCCCTGGGCAGAGACAGCCAGGCTGGAAGGAGAGGGGGTCTGCAGGCTCGGTAAGTGGGGGATGCCTTTGGGGTTCAAGCAGGCCATGCCAGGGAGCCTGGAGTGCACAGGGCCCCCAGAGGTGCCTCAAGAGAGTCTTGGGGATCTGGTTCCTATTTTCTGTTTGTTTCTCACACCAGCCTCTCTTGGAACCCCAGGGACCCCCAGCCCCTCCCAGACCCCCAGGGACCCCCAGTCTCTTACAGACCCCCAGGGACCCCCAGCCTCTCCCAGACACCCCCTTGGGGCCCCAGCTTCACTCTTGTGAGTGCTGAGGGGCTGACATGTCACCGGCATGTCTCCAGCCCCCTGGGAACCCGGGCCCTGTTTCACTTTGAGAGGATGTGTTCCTTCCTGTGTCATCAGGAGGCTGCATGGCAGACCTGGCTGAGGTGACCGCTGTGGTCTGAGAGGACAGGGACCTGGTGGATGCTGCCAGGCTGGGATGCCTGGAACTGGAGGAGGCTGCCTGGGGCAGGGGTCCAGGCTGTTGACGGTGCTGGCACCCACCCACCCCATTTCAGGAATGACCATTCCCGAAGAGGACGCCGACGTGGGACAGGGCAGTAAATACTGCCTGGTGGCCATTGGGCGGCTCCAGGTAGGAAACAGCTGAGCCCGTTGGATACCGTGGTCTTTGATTTCTGGGCCACACTTGAAGGGGCTTGAGATGCTCAGTGTTTGTTTTCTGTGTAGGGAGGAGATGGACATTGAGGGAAGGGGCAGTGGCTGAGGGTGAGGGGTGGGGTCTGAGCTAGGGGGCAGGATCTGAGGGAGGCTGCTGGGAGTCTGAGCAGGGTGGATCCTGGGGTTCCTACTGCTCTTGGGGCTGGTAAGGGAAGCCCTGACCCCTGCAAGCCCGTGAACTCCCGCAGAGGGGCCGAGCTTCCCAGCCCTGTTCTCTTGGGACACGGTGAGTACCCTGTGCCCCTGGAGAGGAGGTGACACCAGAGGTTCCTGTCCTGGGGAGCTGATCCCCTGGGTACAGGTGCACAGGCAGGGAAGGGGCTTGAAATCATAGCACAGTTGGGGACAGACTTCATAACTCCCTCTGCCTGAGGGGAAATGAGGCCCAGAGGCATGGAGACAGGGAGTCCCGGGCACTTGGAGGCAGCCACTGCCAGATCTGCAGGTGTGCCCACTGGGCACCTAGACATACATGCTGGTGACAGGGACACGCCTGCTGTGGCTGCAGTGACAGGGGGGAGAGCAACTCCCTGCCACCCTCGGTCTGCCCCCAGGTGACCAGCTCACCCGTGTGCATGGACATGAGCTCCATGGCAGTGCCCACGGAGTTCCTCTCACGCCACAACGCCGAGGGCATCATCACCTTCGTGGACCCGCGGTGCATCAGCGTCATCGGCTATCAGCCCCAGGTAGGCACCCGGCTGGGCCTGGCCCCCGGCCTGTGTGGCAGCCGGTGTCTGAGGTCAGGGCTCTCCGCTGAGATCTGGGCTCCAGGGAGACAGACACTTGCAGCTTAGGCACGTGACTCAGCCAGAAACCCCACGCGTCGCTGCCATGTCTGTCTGTGCTGGTGTCACACGACACAGGAGGAAGGAGTATGCGGGCGTGTGTCCTGCTGGCAGTGGTCGCATGGGTATGGGCATGTCAGGGCTCCTCCCAGCTCTTGTCATGAAATAAAAGTGGCCGAGGAGAAGGGTTCCAGCCCCAGGATGGGGGGCACCTGGCCTGGGAAGGTTGCTGGTGTGTCCGTCAGAGAAGCGATCGGTCCTGGTGGGATGTCAGAGCCTCTGGCGTCTCTCGGGTCCTGTGAATCCTGAGCCTTCTAGGAGGTGGATGCCCTCCCAGCTGGGTCATCTCCTGCGAGGCTCTGTGCTGGCCTGGACTCTGAGCACTGGTCACCGGCCTCCTCAGGCCCTTCCTGCAGGGATGTCCCACCACTCCAATGTGCTGTAGTTTGCGCATGGAACTGGCTCCTTTGAGGAGGGGACCGTGCAGCACATGGCCATGTGAACAGTCTCCAACCCCACCTGCAGGCCAGCATCCCGGACTACCTGGGACATGCATGTCCCTCATGGTCCTTAAGTGTGCTCGGTGCCCGCGCCCTGTGGCAAGCACAGCTGTTCTTCCCAGGGCTGCTGTAGCGGGATGAGAAGTCAGCTGGAGGGCTGGAGCGATAGCACAGCAGATCGGGCGTTTGCTTTGCACAAGGCTAACCCGGGTTCGATTCCCAGCATCCCATATGGTCCCCTGAGCACCGCCAGGAGTAATTCCTAAGTGCATGAGCCAGGAGTAACCCCTGAGCATCGCTGGGTGTGACCCAAAAGAAGAAAGAGAGAGAGAGAGAGAGAGAGAGAGAGAGAGAGAGAGAGAGAGAGAAGTCGGCTGGGGACACACCTATGGGATTGAGAGTGGGACCAGCTCAGTGCCCTGCAGATGTGGCAAGGGGACGCAGGTGGGGGTGCGCCGCTGTGTCCCTGCCTCCGGGTGGCTAAGGCGCCCTCTCTGCAGGATCTCCTTGGGAAGGACATCTTGGAGTTTTGCCACTCGGAGGACCAGACCCACCTGCGGGAAAGCTTCCAACAGGTGCCTGCTTGCGCATGCCCAGGGAGGGAGGCAGAGGCTGCGCTGTTGAACCGGGGGCTTCCGGCCACCGACACCCCTCCCCGATGTCTCACAGGTGGTGAAGCTCAAGGGCCAGGTGCTGTCGGTCATGTACCGCTTCCGCACCAAGAGCCGCGAGTGGGTGCTGATCCGCACGAGCAGCTTCACCTTCCAGAACCCCTACTCGGACGAGATCGAGTACATCATCTGCACCAACAGCAACGTCAAGTATGTGCGCGAGGCTGGGCCCTGCCCGCTACTCCTCTCAGCCCATTCTCAGCACGTGTTGGGCCAAGGGGCAGCACACAGGGGGACAGGGGACGGCTGCAGCTCCTTCTGTGCTGCATTTTCTGCGTGAAGTGAAGCCACACAGCAGTCTGTGCCCCCAAACACAGCTTGGTTCTGGTAGAAAAGCTGGCAAGAAAATACAGATATTGAAGGCTGGGGACTGGGGACACCATGCTAATCTCCACCTCCTCTGTCCCCAGGGTTCCTTCTCATCTCCCAAGTAAGCTGTCCCTGGCCACCCTCGTTCCCTGGTCACCCCCAGTTCTGTCCCCTGAGTCCCTGGCCACCCCCTCTCTCCCCAGGCAGCTCCAGCAGCAGCAAGCAGAGCTGGAAGTGCACCCGAGGGACGGGCTGTCATCCTATGACCTGTCTCAGGTGGGTTTCTGGAAGCTTCCCCCAGGGGTAGTGTAGAGGGTTGTGTTTCTGTCCTGGGGACCCTCACAGGTGAGCTGCAGGTGCAGGTGACTGTGGAATTGAGTCAGTGGGGGATGCTGATGGGAACTGGGGGCTACGTGGGGTCCAGTGCCCCAACTTCTGCCCCCTGCCCCAGCAGCCCTGCAGCATTCCCCAACCCTCCCCACCTGTCCTCTCCCCAACTCCAGCCCTTCACCTCTCTCCTCCCTCATCCCCTCCACTAGCTCCTCCTCCTCGTCTCTCTCCTCCCTCATCCCTCTCCCCCAACTCTTCTCCTCTCCCCTCCTCCAATTCCCCTCCCTACCTCTCCCCACCCTCATCCCTTCCCCAGCTCCCCTTCTCACTTCTCCCCCCCCAACTCTTCCATCCTCACTTTTCCCCTCCCTTATCTCCTCATCTTTCCCTTCCCTTATCTCCTTCCTCACTTCTCCCCTCCCTATCCCCACCTTCCTCTCTCCAACTCCTCTCCCTCCCTCTCCCCTCCCCCATCTTTCCCCTCTTCACCCTCCCTATTCCCCTCCTCCCCTTCGTTACCTCCTCTCTCCCTTCCCCCTGCCCTTCCTCCCTCTGGCCTGCCCTTCCTTCCTTCCTTCCTTCCTTCTGCACCTCAGTCCCAGTTTCCTGGCTCCCCGCCTTTTCCCTGCGTCGGTATTTGGCCTTTTCCCAGACTCATCTGTCTGTGGTTCTCTCCCATGCTTCAGCCCCTGGCCCCTGGCATGTGTTCTCTCTCTGCTGCACTTAGAGGCTCCCCTGGGAGACTGGGAGTTCTGGAGGGAAGGCCCGAGGTAGGCGGGCGGTGCATGGCCTCATGTGGCAGGACCCTGGGTCTCTATGCCAATAGGTGCCCGTGCCCAGCATCCCTGCAGGTGTCCACGAAGCCAGCAAGTCTGTGGAGAAGGCTGACACCCTCTTCTCTCAGGAAAGGGACCCCCGGTTTGCCGAAATGTTTGCAGGTATCAGTGCATGTAAGTGTCCAGGGTGGGATCCAGTTGCCAGCAGGCACCCGACGCTGTCCCTGGAAGTAGCTTCCGAGCTGGCTCCAGGCACATGGCAGAGGATTCTGGAGCCAGGCTGGTGCCTCCCTCCCAGGGTGGGAGGGAAGGTGTGCCCATCTCTAAGCATAGCCCCGACCCTGAGGACCATCCCCGGTGGCCTCAGGTGTGGCAGGGCCATGTGTGGGAAACAGACTTAAAGGGCTAAGCCCTGGGCCCAAGGCTTGCCCGCTGTGTCTAGCACAGCTGGGAGTGGCCCCAGATCATGGCCAGGTGTGGCCCTGAATCCCCATGACCCAAAGGGAGAAGCAGGCAGGGAGCAGAGAGGCGCTGAAGCCCACAGACAGCTCTGTGTGGCTGCTTTCGTCTGCCAGCATGTCCCTGCCGGATCCTCCAAGCTGGTCACTGGCTCACAGCAGTTGGGCCAGCGCCCGCAGGTCTGTGCAGCCCACCTGAGTGAGCCAGACATCGTCTTGCGTGCCTTCTTCCAAGGTCAGCAGACCAGAAAAATTACATGTCTGTGTTTGGCACAGAGGAAAACCAGTGGGCTGGCCCGGAGTGTGGGGCACTGGAGGTGCAGCTGCAGAACCAGAACCAGCAGTAGAGGAGGGCCACAAATGTGGCCGGATGGGAGGGGGCAGGGGTCCAGGCCCAGCAGCCCCATCTCTCCTCTCTCGAAGCCCTGTGGTGGGCGGGGAAATCCTCCAGACTTGCAGCAGAAGCTCTGAGATGCCATCACACAGAGGCAGGGGCACCGAGCCCTGAGCAAGAAGGGGCCCCTGACCCCACTGTCCACACCTGCCGGCTGCACAGATGTGGGCTGGGCTCTGGGGGCGTGTGTGTGCACAGAGCCGGCATGGGACAGCTTCCCGCAAACGCACGGGTAGGGGGATCTGATGCCTCAGATCTCTGCAAGCCTGCCAGACACAGAAGCTAGAAAACCCCAAAAGCCCCAATCCGGCGCACGCAGGCAGGCACGGCCCACTCTGGCCTCAGCAATAAATAGGAATTCCTCATCCACACGTGGTGTTTTCTCCCTGGTGGTTACTGAGAAGCAGCTTCCGGAGTGTTTGAGCGTGACCACTAATGGAGGGGAAGGAGCAGGAAGGAAGTCGCACGTCCAAGAAAAGAAAGGACGCTTTTAGCAAATCGCAAGGTGCTCCGTGGAGCCGAGTGCGGCCAGTACGGGCTGGTGGATGCGCTTCTCAAGGATGGTCGTTCCGTGGCGCCCACAAAACTGCCGTGATGTCAGAGTCAGACACGACGCAGCCGCACACCACCGAAACCCAGGAAATGCTGCGTTTCTGGTCAAGCCATGTAGCCACAGTCAGGACCCACAGAGCCAAGGGCCAGGCAGGGAGGCAGCCACGGAGCCAGAGGGGCCATGGAGTAGACAGCCACGGAGCCCTGGAGCCACAGAGCCAGGCCCACCACCACAGACAGCCAACCTCCTCTGACATCTGCTAAACCAGATGTCGAGGATACCAGCTTGGGGGTAGGACAATAGACAGTGGTCACTGAAAGTGGACCTGGGACCAGGGACAGCCACAAGGAGACCTGACAGGCCATCATCGTGGGAAACTCCAGGCGTCCGTCACCACCTTAACAAGGCTGTGGACCAAAGCAACCGATGAGCTCGTCCACACCCGCTGACACTTCACCCACATCAGGCACCAAATTGTACCTTGGCAGCTGGGGAGGCTGGCAGAGTCTGCACCATCTTTCACCAGGGAAACTGAGGCAGAGACCGCTTGGAGAAGACTCACCCGCAACATGTGGGCAGAGCTGGGCCCCGTGTGCAGGAGCCTGAGCGCCTGAGCTTGGCCCTCACTAGCCCCACGTAGATGCAGTTGTCCCTGACCCACAGTTGGGGGGTAGAAGCATCGTGGTCCCTCTTCACCCTAATGGCTTTCTCCAAGGGGTCAGGAGGTGGGGATGCCCCATAGGCCCTCCACAGTGGCCACACACTGGCACCTGGCTCTCCTGTGACCCAGTTCCTCTGTCCTCCACAGCGGAGAAGAAGCTGATGAGCTCGGCTGCCGCAGGGAGCCAACAGATGTACCCCCAGGGAAGCCCTTTTCCCGCCGGCCACTCGGGCAAAGCCTTCAGGTACTGCAGGCCACACACGGTGCCTCCCTCAGGACCTTCCTCAGGGCTGGCTGCCATGACCTGGGTGGGGCATAGCCTTGGGCTCCCAGAGAAGCCAGCACCACTGGACTGACCTAAGTGGCCATGGGGGTCTGGCCCCTGGGAGTGCATCTGGCACCTCACAAGTGGGGGAGAAGGGCCCTCAGGTCAGCTCCTGGCCATGGCTGCCTCAGCCAAGTCTGTCCCTGCTCGGGGCCCTGGGGTGTGACTGTGGAGCTGGTGGGCCTGGTGGTGGGCCTGGCAATCAGGTGCATGCAGTGACCCGCTTCCCCCCAGCTCCTCGGTGGTCCACGTGCCGGGGGTGAGCGACCTCCCGTCCTCCTCCTCGAGCAGTCAGAACATGGCCCAGATCTCCCGGCAGCTGGGCCAGGGCCAGGTGGCATGGACGGGGACCCGGCCGCCCTTCCCAGGACAGGTATGACGCATGGGCAGCCCCTGTCCTGGGGGCCGTGGGGGGCAGGCACGGGAACTTGAGGGACCAGCTCTCCCCTTAGACTGCAGGTCCCCAGGGGATGGGGGGTCTTGGCCTCAGCCCCACCCCCCACATCGCAGGGAGCAGAGCGGGTCCAGCCTGCATCCAGCCATCCCCAGGCTTCCTGATGCCCATCTCGCCCCTGCTCTGCCCTGTCCAGCTGCCTTCTCAGTCCAGCAAGACCCAGACTTCACCCTTCGGGATTGGGACAAGCCACAGCTACCCGGCGGACCCCTCCTCCTACAGCCCCCTCTCCAGCCCGGCCACCTCCTCGCCCAGCGGCAGCGCCTACTCCGGCCTCGCCAACAGGACACCAGGCTTTGGTAGGGGGCCAGGGAGGGGATACGTGCTGCAGATCAGCCCCAGGTCCAGAATCTGCCTGAGGCCTCCTGCACCTCTTCTCTGGGACTCAGCACAAGCTGGTCGTGACCCCAGGTCCTGTACGTGTGTCCCCAGGTCCTGTACGTGTGTCCCCAGGTCCTGTACAAGTGTCCTCAGGTCATGCACACGTGTCCTTCAAGCCCTGCACACATGTCCCTCAAGCTCTGCACACGTGTCCCGGGACTGGTGCCATTGTCTTGGGCCCTTGTCCTTAAGACACTGAGCTTGGGAACTCACACGCCGTCTGGCCGTTGGCTGGATCACGCGGCCCTGTGGCCCCCAGTGCAGCTGGTGCTGACCCTAGGGAGGCGACTGGGAAATATGGTAGTGGGATGGCCCCTGAGCCAGGTGTCCTGTGGTGGCCAGCAGCAGACAGCGGGCAGAGCAGCGGGCAGTTCCCAGGACGGCCCTCGGAAGTGTGGTCCCAGTGGCAGAGCCAGCACCACGGCCAGCAGAGCAGCGAGCAGCACCCACACCCACAGCCTGGCCAGACGGAGGTGTTCCAGGTAAATAGAGGCACCGCTGCTTTCTCCACTTCCTCTCTCACTCACACCTCTGTCGGGTCCAGGCAGATGGGAGGATGGGAGGGAGGCGCTTGGGCTCAGCAGCACGCACCTCAAGCCTCCTCTGGACATGAGGTCCCTCGGAGCAGAGCCAGCCCCTCTGCCTGCCTGCACTGCCAGGAGCCAGGATGGGGCAACTCCGAGATCTAGGCCCAAGCCCTCTCTCAGGGTCCCTCTCTCTGGTGACTTTTCCCCAGCAGCATCAGCACCACCTTGCAGTCAGGCTTCAGGCACCGTGTCCTTGTCTAGGGTGACTGGTGTGTGAACTGAGATGGAACCCAGATTTCGGTGTGCCCAGTCCAAGCCCAACCCCCAAGCCTTCTCCTCAGCTGGGCTGTGGCTTTTCCATATGCAGGGAAAGGCCTCACTGCCCTCCCGTGACCCCTCCCTTCCTCTGCTGGGGGCTGTGCCCTGCCCTGCGGAGACTTCCTGTGGCCTCCCTGTGGCTGGTCCCTGAGCTCACAGCCCAAAAGTCACATTGTCACCTGGACTCTGCACCTGTCCCGCCTTTGTCTGGATTTTCCTCCTGGAAAAAAACTGGCCCAGGGACTAGAATGGTTGAATACCTCTTTGGGGACTGAACTAGAGTCACTGGCTCCTGGTTGGAGGTCTAGGATGGGGGGTGGATTTCGCGGGAGGCTCCTCACAGGGACCCTGGTACCCCAGGTCTCTCAGGGTCACAGACTGCGGCCCCGCGAGCTAGAAGACACAAGGATGGGAGACAAGCCCAGTCCTGTGCCCCTTTGTCTCCTGCAGGACATGCTGCCCATGCCGGGGGACCCCACTCAGGGGACGGGCAGCTACAACATCGAGGACTTCGCGGATCTGGGCATGTTCCCGCCCTTCTCAGAGTAGCAGCGAGTGGAGCTGGGCCTCGGCGCCAGGTCCCCTGCCGGAACCACAGCCCCCCTTTCCAGTTAGGCCTGTTCCCCCCGGTCACTGGGCCCCCCGCCGGATTCGGAGCCCAGGGGCCTGCCGGCCACCCCACCTGTACCCCACCAGCCGCCGTGGGCGCTATTTATCGTGCTTGTGCACCACGGCGTCAGCCACGTTCTTGCCACCTGCTCGTGGATGACCCGTGATGGACTGTGATGTGGCCCAGAGCTGGGTGTAGTGGTGGCTGCCGGTGGCGTGTGTCTGCTTTGTGCTGTGACGTGAGTATCCCCATGGTTGGTGCCGTGTCTGTCCTGCGCCAGAGTGAGGCTCTCTGCCGGGGCAGCCAGGCACTGGGCAGAGGACGGGGCATCTGAGCACAGAGGCCCCAGATGCTCCCAGTCAGGCCTCCGGTGGGAGTAGGAGCAGATTCTGGAAGCTTCTGTACTGGGAGCTCGGCTCACCTACTTGCTTCCCAGAGGGGAGATATGCGTGTCTGTCTCTCTGCGACCCCCCCCTCCCCCCGTCCCCTGTGTCCTTGGCAGGAGGAAGAGTCTTGACAGCCCCATGGAGACTGGACAGGACCACCCCCTCAAGCCCTTGTACCCTCCAGGACCTCTCTGGCCCCTGGTTAGCCCAGTGGGCTGCACTGCTGGACTCAGGTGTGGAGGGAAGATGGGTTCAGTCCCCAGTGTCCCTCAGCCCAGGACAGGAAGACATCATCCATCTCAGCTGTGTCCGACCAACTCTGGGGAACCTGTGCCCTGTCTGGAACCTCCTGCCAGAGCCCAGGGGTAGGCCCACCTGCTGTGTGCGGGGCTCTGAACCCACTCGCCAGACCCTTCCAAGGATAGTCCTTTGTCAAGGCGCCGGTGGCCATTTATTGGCTGTGTGACCCAAGTTCCCTGTAGCAGCAGCATCCTTTTGGGGCTGTGCTGGGCTCTCAGGAGCCTTTGCTTCTGGGGAGATTCAGGGGATGAACCCCCCTTCCATGTCCCAGACTCAGAGGAACTCCTCCCGCCCCAGTCCCCCTGCCCTCAGCCCCCTGAGCCCTGGCATTCCACCCTAGCCCTGAGCTCACCCAGCACGAGCTTATTTTTGTGAAAGGCACAGAAATAGCTTTTGGATCGAAGGACGGTTTCCAGGTGAAAGGCAGACTATCTGAGGCTCTGCTCGTGAGTTCAAAAGTGGGGGTGCCTTTCCAACTGGTTTTAGACGAGCTGTGGGTTCCTGTTGGGTTGGACGGACATGAGCCTGCCTGAGTGCTCCGCTGCGGGCGACACAGAGGTCAGCACGAGAAGCCAGGGGAGCCCCAGCAGCAGGGGAGCGCAGTCTCGTGCCCCGTCTTCAACAGGTTAAACCTCAGGACCAGCGTGTGTATTCTGGAGCCATCTCTTGGCGCATCTGGGTTCTGACTCCACAGAACCCAGGTGGGGTGTGGCAGTTGCTGGCTGTGCTTGGCTTTGCTGGGGTTCTGGGTTAATACAGTGGGGCTCACGTGTCCCTGCCCTGACACCAGTCTGTGCTGGTCATCCATGCACAGCCAGCAAGACAGCAGGGAGAGGAAGGTTCTATGTCCTTCCATCTCCACAGCCAGCCTCACTGGGGTCCACTGCAGCTCACCTACACTCTGCAGCCACCTTTCTGTCCCCCCTGAGGGGCCAAGCATTCCCCATGGTGAGCTACGCCAGGGCCGGGCTCCTTCCCTCTGAGCACCTCAGCCAGGCCACGGGCACCCTGGGCGGTCTCTCCTAACCTCTCTCCTCCCAGATGTGACCTGTGCTGTGGCTAACCATCACTTGTCTTTCTAGAATGTTCTCTATGACTAATGATTACTAAGTCGGTGGTGTCTGTGTGTGATGAATGTAACTGCCTTTTAACGTCTCATTCCAATAAAGCAACTTTGCTCTCAGTCATTTCTGCCACCCTAATGAAATTGGTCCCCGGCGTCTTGCAGATGGGCTGGGGGGAGGGGTGGCACCATAACTCCTTGGGCTGTAGGGGCACGGCATAGAACCTGCGTCTGTTCCTGCACCTGGCATGTGCTCCAGGGGCACCACAAGGGCTGCTTTGCCCTGGTTGGTTTTTGGTGCTTGGTCTGCACCTGCAGTTTTAGGCTGCACAATGCCAGGATTGAGCCTCTGAGCCTGTCCCTGGCCCTCGGCAAAGCTGTGTTTGGGGTCCATGGTAAGCCTGTGGGGCTGGAGGTTCTTCCTGGCCTGCCACCAAGAACCTGCCCTCGGCCCCCCACCTCTCCTCCCTACTGGGGCCTCCTCTGGGTGCCACACCTGGATTACGGGCATTCCTTCCCAAGCTTCTCACTACAGCTCTCTGCTCAGCCCCGTGAGGAATTCTCAAAGGCATGTTTGCGGTCTGGTCTTGAGAGCACCTGACTGAGTGGACTTCGGAGCCTGATGGTCCCCAGGGGGGATTGAGGGGGTGCAGGGCACATGGGGAACAATAGGCTGCAACTCTTGGAAAGAGGGGGTCATCTCAGCAGGGATTCCTCAGAGCTGGGGCTGCCAAAGTACCCTGCCGATGTGAGCTGGGAGGGACTGCGTCCAGCTTCCCATGGGAAGGGCCAAGCTGAGTTGGGTCATTTGACCACTTTGGATGACGAGTTGGAGGCTGCAGGATCTCCCAGAAGCCCAGGGGACGGACCACCCAAATGAAATTGGTCCCCAGCATTGCTGCCCAGTTTGGTGGCCGAGGGGGCGTGTGGAACCTCCACGATTCCCTGTCATGCTTCTCTAAGGCATTATCCTCCAGACGCCTCGACCTGCATGTGGTCCTGGTCATCTCACCAGTGACCTTTCTCTTGATTCAGCTCTGCAGAGGACAAACCTCTTCCTACTGTTTGCTTGAGAAAAAATGTTCCATGGTTTGACATGTCTTGTTTTGATGAAGAAGGACGGTGGAGGTGAGTCCCCTAGTTGTGGTCAGGAGGCCCTGGGTCCGTGCTAGGCAACACTTGGATAAGTAGGCCTGGTAGTTCCGTACTCAGGCCCCACAGTGGCTGGGGTGGAAGCAGGGTCCAGTGCCCGAGGCCTGAGTCCCTGACCTCTTGAGACACCTCTCCTGAGATCCCTTCAGAGCAAAGGAGCCTGAGGGCTGCGGACTCTGCAGCCCGAGTGGAGTCAATGTTGTGGTGAATGCTTCTGAACATGGGCTACCGGGGCAGGAGACAAGCAGCTTCCAGGCCTCTACACTGGGCTGGAAGAGTGGGGGAGACTCAGGGTGGAGCCCTAAAAAGGCAGCGGGCTATAGACACAGAAGAGCCTCATTCCCCCAGATTCGCACGACAGTCGTGAAGCCAAATGGTCTCATCCCTCCAGACAGCAAACGGTGATGGGGCCCAGGGCTTTAGATGGAAGAAAATGGGGAGCCCTATACCCCACAAAGCGCAGTGCCGTGAGACAGGCTGGCTGTCCAGTGCAGGAGGTGTCTTGTGACTCACTCAGGGCACCAAGACAGGGCAGAGAACTCAATGACTTGTGACTAGGTGGGGCAGGAAGCCCAGGTGGGCAAGAATGTAAAGAGGGGAGAGCCGGGGCCCCCTCAGCGCCCTCCTGCAGGGTCCCCCTCTGAGGCAGGCATCCGGTCCTGGGGACAGTTGGTTCTACCCAGCAGACAGGCAGGCGTCCAGGCTGAGGTGGGGAAAACTGTGGACTCGACACACATGCACACACTCGGCCCAGCACTAGTCCAGGTGCAGACCCAGGGTGGAGATAAGGCCCAGAGCCACTACCTTTAGAGACAGAGAAGGGTTCAGACTGAAGCACAGGATGGGCAGGATGGTGGAAACCTGCAGGGAGAAGAGGGGTAACAGGTTGTGCAGCTGCACCTGCAGTCTGTATATAAGGTGGTCAGAGCACCGAGGAAGGGGTCAACAGCAGTGGGGGATCTCTGTAGTGAGGGAAAGTGCGGTGGGGCGGAGTCTTGTAGAGTGGGCGGGGTCAGTGCGCACGGGGCGGGGTCTTTGTGGAGTGGGCGGGGTCAGTGTGCAGTGGGGCGGGGTCTTGTGAAGTGGGCAGGGTCAGTGCACTGCGGAAGAGAACGCAGCATGCGGAAGCAAGAGCTCCAAAGGCCCTGCCATTTCTAGGCCCATTTGGGTCAATGCCCGTTGCAGAAATGGCTCATGATTTCTCTAAAGTCCTCTCTGAAAGACTCTCCTCTCTGGGGTAACCTCAGAAACCAGAGGGCGGGCCACATGTTTGCAGGAACTCCCTGGGTCCTGGCGCCCCTAATTACAGGAGCCTGGCTTCAATTAACCCTGCTGCTTCCCAGTTGTCATTTTGAGCCGTATTTAGAGCCGCTGGCATTTCCACTGCACTCTTTAATCGTGTTGTTGTGGGCTGTTTTCCTTCATCTAGTCTGTTCATCATACTTGGGAGACCAGCTACTCCTGTTCTGGGGGTCCCCTAGGTGTAGACATGGGCATGGCCACCCTGAGTGCATCACCAAGCTGGAGCCCTGGAGCCCTAGGCAGCACCTGACCAATCCCCACGGTTCCCATCCTGCCCACCTGGTCTCTCCGCAGCTGTGGCCCCAGGTGGAGCTGGGGATGTGGGAGCTTTGAGTCTGAACATAAACAGAGGGTCCCACATCGGCTCCCTGCCCCCCACCCCTAACTCGAGCCTGGTCCTGACAGTGGGGCTTTGGATGGCAGTGTGTGTCACAGGACAGGAATTCTGGCCCCAGTGAGCTCTGACCTCAGACGCACAGAGAAGCCATGGTGAGCGGAGAGAATGATGGGGCCGTGAAGGAAGCCCCTCAAGGGAGGCAGTGTGGCCTGTGGCCACCCCAATGGACCCCAGAGCACACCTTTCCTGAATCCTGGTGGTGTGGCCACTCAGGGAAGCCCTGGAGGGCCAGGGGTTGGGGCAACTCCCTTTTCCATCCTCTCTTCTGAGCTGTGCAGTTCCCCAAGTACCCCAATACTCCATCAGAGTCTGGAGTGGGATGCAGCCTGAGACACCCCACGTTGGCCTCTTCCCTGTAGCTGCTCTCTTTCATCCTTCCTCTCCTTCCTGCCCTCCCCTCCCTCCTCCTCCTCTCTTCCTCTTCCCCATTGTTACAATTTCTGGCTGGACTCTCACTGTCTATCATGGCTGCCCCAGATACCCGCCCTGCTCTAAAGCCACCTCCTTCTGCAGCCTCCTGTGACTGCCTGCTCTCCAGGAGTGGCAGTGACTGTATCCGGCCCACCTGGTGTTGCACTGGTCTCTGTTGTCACTTGCCTCCACTGATGTCACAGAACAGGAAGAGGGTGTTGCTGAATGAGACCAGGTTCTGCCGGCCCAGCAGGCCGTTCTCCATCATCAGAAGCTGGGTGAAGGCCTTCCTGGGTGAGGGCCCAGATCCTCTTCAGATTCCAGGTGCCACCCCAGCATTGTTGTTCACACCCAAGAGCCATCATAAACGCACGAATCAACATTGCGCACCGTGCTGAGTCATGGCCAGGGGAACTTTGAAAACTCTGGCTTTGTGCTCCCCTCGGATGCTTGGGAAACCTCAGCATGGTCAGGAATCTGAGGCCAGACCATGGGGAGGGGTCCCGAGGCAGCAACTGCTGGGATGGTATCTTTTTTTTTTAAATAAATAGATTTTATTTGGAGGATTTTTAAGGTGTGGAGGGGGAGAGAGAGAGAGAGAGAGTAACGTACTAAAGAGAGAACATGGGCTTCTCCAAGGGCAGAGAGAGCCCCTACACACATCCTAGCATTAGACACGAAAGCATGAAAGTACACATCTCAAGAGGGGAGATGTGGATGACACATGTGCTCGGGCACCACATGTGCTCGGCCACGTGGGCACAAGCAGCACATGGGCTTGGGCAGCATATGCGCCTGGGATGGTATTTCTTCTGGTGTCAATTCTGGGGCTTTGTCACTGTCACTGTCCTCCCGTTGTTCATCGATTTTCTCGAGCAGGCCCAGTAACGTCTCCATTGGAGACTTTGTTGTTACTGTGTTTGGCATATCGAATACGTCACGGGGAGCTTGCCAGGCTTTGCCGTGCAGACGAGATACTCTTGGTAGCTTGCCGGGCTCTGATCTTTTTTTTTTTCCCCTTTGAATTGAACTTTATCCTTTTCTATTGAGGAAGCCAGTAATTCCTGTGAATTTGAGTTTTGTGGTATTTTTTGTCTGTATGCTTGGCAAGCTCCCCATGGCATATCTGATATGCCAAAAACAGTAACAACAAGTCTCACAATAGAGACGTTACTGGTGCCTGCTCGACCAAATCGATGAACAACGGGAAGACAGTGCTACAGTGCTTTTTGGTTTTGTTTTGGGGCCACACCTGGTGATGATCAGGGTTACTCCTGGTTCTGCACTGAGGAATCACTCCGGGCAGTGGTCGGGGGGGACCCTATGTGGTACCGGGGATGGAACCTAGGTTGGCCGCATGCAAGGCAAATGCCCTCCCTGCTGTACTATCATTCCAGCCCGCTCCTGTGGATCTGAAACACCCACTGTCTCGTATGTGAAATGTCACACCTGCGAGCTGCTGTGGATTTCCTGTCTGGCCTCATTCTGGTCTCACCACTGGAGTCTGTCTCTTGGTTTTAGTTTTTGGGCTACTCCTGTTAGTATTAACATGAGGACTCAATTTCCAGCTTAGTGCTCAGGGGTCACTCTGAGATGCCGAGGCATCTGTCCAGTACTGGGGATGGAACTGGAGCCTCCTGCATGCAACAGCCCGGTGCACCAGCCCTTTGACCATCTCCCCCGATGGAGTCTATGTTAAATATTTGAAATTTCCTAGAATAACATACAGATTAATTGTTCATGCACTCTGCTGTAAAGCGCAACTCTGACAGACCCGAAGCAGTAGTACAGCGGGTAGGGCTCTTGCATGCGGCCACCCCAGGTTCCATCCCTAGCATCCCATATGGTTCCTGGAGCACTGCAAGGGGTAAGCTCTGAGCATTGCCAGGTGTGTCCCCCCCCCAAAAAAAAGTTCATCCTTAAAGTGGAACCCCTTGAGATTGAAAGAAAGTGGGTGCAGGGGCTGGAGAGGTGCAGTGCGGAGGGTGCTTGCCTTGCTCAGGGTCAATGTGGATTTGATTCCCAGCACCCCGTGTGCCCCCTGAGCACTGCCAAGAGCGATCCTTGAGTGCAGAGCTAGGTGTGCTACTCTCATCAATAATAATTTAACAGTTAACGTGACCCGTCTTTGCATATGAGACTTCACGTACAGATTTCCAGGACAGGGACTGTCTGCCAGTCTCATATAAGGGGTAGCCTACAGGCACACCCACAGCTTCACACCACGGCACCTGCAGGAGAAGGCAGCCGCCTAGAGCCTTCTGCTTGGGTTCCTGCAACTCCACCTGCTCAGGAAACTTTCCCGGGAGAGTTTCCCTCTACCTTCCAACTTGGACTCTGGGAGCGCACCGCAGGGCAGGGCAGGGCAGAGAGGGGAGCAGTGTGGGCGGGGCGCCGAGGCCCGTCCAGGTGCCCCTGAGGAGGAACACCCTGCAGACCCCGAGCCGGAGGCAGTCCCAAGACTGTGGGCGGCTGGTGGCAGCCGTGAGCCGGCAGGTGCGTCCCGCCCCGCCCCGCCCCCGCCGCCGGGCCCCGCCCCGCCCCGGCCCCGCCCTCCCGCCGCCGGCCCAGGTTGGCCCCGCCCCGCCCTCGCCCGGCCCGCCCCTTCTGCCGCGGGCCCCGCCCCGCCCCGCGGCAGGCCCCGCCCCGCCGCCCGCCGAGCCGGGCCGGGCCCCGGGGGCGGGCGCGCTCCCCCGGAAGTGGCGGCGCGCGACGGGGGCGCGCACGTGCGCTTTGTGTGCCGCGCGGGCCGGGCCGCTGCCGCCGCGCCCCAGGGCCCGCGGGGCCTGCCGAGCCGGCCCCGCCCCGCTGCCGCGCCCCCGCGGCCGGCCGGCCTGGCAGGGGCGGCGGGAGCCGGCGGCCCGATGCCCGAGCCCGGCCCCAGGATGAACGGCTTCTCGCTGGGCGAGCTGTGCTGGCTCTTCTGCTGCCCGCCGTGCCCGGGCCGCATCGCCGCCAAGCTGGCCTTCCTGCCGCCCGAGCCCACCTACGCGGTGCTGGCGCCCGAGCCGCGCGCGCCCGCCCGCGACGACAGCCCGGCCGGCGCCTGCAGCCTGCACCTGAGCGAGCGCGCCGACTGGCAGTTCTCGCAGCGCGAGCTGGACGCCGTCGAGGTCTTCTTCTCGCGCACGGCCCGCGCCAACCGCCTGGGCTGCATGTTCGTGCGCTGCGCGCCCGCCGGCCGCTACACGCTGCTCTTCTCGCACGGCAACGCCGTGGACCTGGGCCAGATGTGCAGCTTCTACCTGGGCCTCGGCTCGCGGCTCAACTGCAACGTCTTCTCCTACGACTACTCGGGCTACGGCGCCAGCTCGGGCCGCCCCTCGGAGAAGAACCTGTACGCGGACATCGACGCCGCCTGGCAGGCGCTGCGCACGCGGTGAGGGGCCGGCGCCGACGCGCGCCCGCCCGGACCCCGCGCCCCGCGCCCCGCGGCGGGCCCTCGCCGGGCGCCCACGGAGGGCGCGCTGGCCGCTCGGGTGACCTGGGCGAGCTGTCGGCTCGGGGGCCCGGGCGGCCCGGGGGGGGGGGCTCCCCGCCCGTTCGCGGGGCAGCAGGGACAGCCGGGGTCCGGGCGCCCGCCGGCCGGGGGAGGCCGCAGGGCCGGGAAGTTGCCGCCCGCGGGACTGCGCGCGGAGGCCCAGGTGTCCGGGTTCCCCTCGGCCGCCAGACAGGGAGCCTGAGCTTGACCCCCGTGGGAAGGGGCCGTCTGCGCCCCGTGTCGCTGTTCGCGCCTGGTGTGGCCCTCTGGCAGGGAAGGGAGACCGAGGCAGGCCAGGACAGCTCGGTGCAGACTGCACCCGCCTCGAGCCCCAGGAGCCCTCCTCGCGGTCCTCTCCCTGCCCTGGGTGCTCGGACCTCCTTCCAGCTGGGAGGTGCCTCCCGCGGTCCTCCCACCCCCACCCTCTGCCCGGAAGTAGCAGCTGGCCCGCGGAGCAACTTGCTGGAGGCGCGGGCCATGTCCACGTAACCACCAGCCTGGTTTGGGGTGACGGGCAGGTCGCTGACCCGGTCAGCCTGCCCACATCTGCTTGCAGTTCACCTCGCTGTACCCAGAACTCACCTGTAAGATGGGCTCAAGTGAGAAGGACAACCTGTGAGGTTGGGAGGCTCCTGCCCCCTCCTTCCTGCTTCTCAGGCTTGTTCACAGAGTGCCCTCCGCCCTGTGAATCATTTCCTGTTGGTTAGGTACACCAAGCCCACCCCCACCTCTCTCTGCACACATACACACATGCACTCACACATGTGTGTACGTAGATATATATGCACACGTGGACACAGGCATTGGCCCACAGTCCCTAAGACATGCATGTTGGCATGTGTTCATGTTTGTGTGCATGTGTGCAAGGGACATGCCTGCTTGTGTGTGTGCTGCACAGCTACGGACACAGGTGTGTAAGCAACCAGGGCTGGGACTGTCTCCTGGAACTTTCAGAAACATCACGTGGGCTCAGGACTGAAGAAGAGGCGGTGGAAGCGTCTCATGTGTAGCTGGTAGTTTCTGACACGCGTCTGGGGGCCGGGAGAGACTGGAGCTGGGGCTGCAGGGGGGACCTCCCTGGCTTCCTGCTTGGAGCCTCCAGGCTGACCCTTTCCCTTCTCAGCTCCTGCCGCTGCTGGGCAGCTGGACTTTTGTGGCCTTTTTCCATCACTACTTCCTCCTTCCCTAACTCTGTACCCCTGGACTGTGCATAGTGAGCTCAGCCCTGTAGGAGCCGTCCCAGACAGGACATGGGGTGCTGGGTCATTTCTCCCCACCACCTGTCCCAGTGGTCGGTGTCCTCACGGGCCCTGATTCACTCCTGGTCAGTGGAGACCCCATGCACAAGCCCTGCTGAGCTCTGCCCTGCCCACCTTTGGGAACCCAGTAGAGACCCTGGTGGACCTCATTTGGCCTCAGTGCACAGGGGAAGAGCACATGGTAGGTTCAGGGGACCTCCAGGCTGTTCGTGACACTCAGCCCAGCCCCTACAGCTTGGACAGGAGCTGAGGCCAGGGAGAGGGACTGCATTCGAGATGGAGACTGTGGGGCTGCCCTGGCAGCTGCTCATCTCGGATGTGTTTCTGATCTCTGGGAGCCTCAGTGTAGCTGCTGCTGCTGCTGTGTTAGAAGGGACAGTGAGGACCATGACGTTGTTGGTGATAAGCAAGTGTGAAGATGAGGATGCTGGTGAGGGTGGAGATGATGGGAGGGTAGAGGTGAGGGTGAGGAGGAGGGGGGAGGTATAGGGAAGGGTGGAAGAAGGGGGACAGGACTGGCAGCGCACACTCAGGTGCTGTGTTTTTGAATCGGCCCCGAGGCCCTGGGAGGTACAGCTCTGCTCTCATGGCCTTTCTCCCCTCTGCGCCTAGCCTGGGCCGCTCTGGAGCAGGGACATGGGCATGTGGCAGGGCCCCTCTGCGTTTGTGGGGACTGTGACCCTCCCTTGCCTTGGGGGCTTTTCTGCTTTGGACCTCCTGGGGGCACTGGGCATTTCTGCCTCTGGACAGGGTGCAGAGAACAGTGATCCTGCACCTGTGCTTCAGAACCCCCCGTTCCTCCTGCGCCCCAGGACCCCCTTACTGCTGCCACCCTGGGGTTCTGCTCTGCTCTCGGGAGCAGGCGAGTCCTGCCAGAGTCTGAGACATCTTTGTGGGGCAGGGGGGAGACAGTGAAGGGGCTGGGGCCAAGCGGGCTGTGCAGTCTGACCTTGGCCCTGACTGACCTTGGCTAACCTTGGCTGAGGGAGCCAGCTCAGCGCTGCCTTTTAAAATATGCATGTGAGGCACGGGTAATGGAGCGCGTCGACAGGCTGCCGAGTTATTGATTTCCTGGAGCGTGTGGAGGGAGCCTGGCTCCAGGCTGAAATGGGAGCCTGCTTCGGGAAGTGGGTCCTTCACTGTCACCACACCCAGGAGGGCGCCGAGAGTGCCAGGAGGAACCAGGACTGTTCTTCCGTTTACATGCATTTTGTTTGTTTTACTTGGTACATCCATGCCCTTCCCTTTCTTCTGTCATCGTGGCGCTGTGGGGAGTGCAGGGTGGAGAGCACGCGGGCAGCACTTGAGAGTCACCTCCAGGCTGCCTGCAAGACATCTTCCTCCATGGAACCATCCCTCATTCTTCCCCAGTTATGCCTTTAATGGTGTAGACTGGGAGGAAGGGCCTTTACGGAGGACGGATGATCAGGCTGCAGTTTGAACCTAGAAACCGTCTGACCCATTTCCTATCTTATGTCTTGGACACTCCATGGGCTGCGGGGATCGTCCCCAAGGGCTCAGGGGCAGGTCTGTAGACTCTGGGCAAGGCAGCAGAGCCACTGCCTACCTCACACCTTTGCTTCCTGGACTCCGGGTATCCAGAAACGGGGGTGAGGCTGGTGTGTGCTACAGAGCCCAGAGGGCTTGTGGTGAGTGTGCAAGTGCTTCTGGATGGGAAAGAGAGAGAAGGAAGCAAATGTGCGTATGGTAGAGAGCCTTGAAAATTTGAAAATTAGCGTTTGCCATTGCCTTGGAATTGCCACAAGCATCTCCGAGCAAGGAAGGCCTGTCCCTCCTGTGGGGCGTAGGACACAAGTTTGGGGGTGGGTGAGGCACAATAGCCCCTGCAGGGCACCCTGCAGTGGCCAGCAGTTGTGTCCGGCGTCATTCCCTGGGGTGCACCAGCAGCTTTTCTGGATCTGACTTTCTTTCCAGAATTTTCTCCTCCCTCTGCGTTCTGCCCTTCCTGAAATGGGCGTTTCAAAACCACAGTGATAAGTTTTAGAGAATAGGGACAGCGTTTCCCTCCAGGGCAGAGTCCAGCCACTTCTTCCTGCCCCAGCTGCCCTGCCCTTTAGGTGGGTGCTTGCTTGGGGATCATACCTGGGGCCCGCTAAGGTGTGACTAAGGAGCTCTTATGAGGTTCCAGTCTGGGGCGTTTGCCTGCCCCTAACGAGGCAGTGTGGGTATGTTTGTAGATGCGAAGAAGGAAAGAGACAGCCCTGGTGTGAGGTCCCCTCCAGGGGGCCCAAGAGCGCCACACCCCTGGGAGTGCTGAAGCTGCATGCCCCCTGCCAGGGAGATAGGCTTCCTAGGAATCAAGGGGAGACGCTTCATTCCTGGCATGGTTTCCAGCTGCCTCTCATCTGGAACATTCTCTCAGTGCTGCTACTAAGAGTCATTATATTCATGGTGAATGGATTAAATAATTCAGTTATAATTAACTGTATGGATTATAATTGTTTAAAACTCAATTTCAAATTAACCAATTACAACAAATTAGACATTGTAATTGATTGCTGTTATTTAGATATTACCTCTCTGAGCCTGCAGACAGAACATGGGCCCTGCCCTACCCATGTCCCCACAGAGAGACTCAGCTTGGAGAGGTGGCTGGGCAGTGGTGTGGTGGGCTGTGGTCACTCAGCTCGGGGGCATCAGGCTCAGGGACAGTCCGGTGCTGGGTTGGGCTCCCCAGCTCACGCGGCTGCTCTCCTGCTGCCTGAGCTAATGAGCCCCTCCCCCACCTCCAGGTACGGGGTCAGCCCCGAGAACATCATCCTGTACGGGCAGAGCATCGGCACGGTGCCCACCGTGGACTTGGCCTCCCGCTATGAGTGCGCAGCCGTCATCCTCCACTCCCCACTCATGTCTGGCCTGCGCGTGGCCTTCCCCGATGCCAGGAAGACTTACTGCTTTGATGCCTTCCCCAGGTAAGTGCCCTTTCTACGCGGGGCCTGCTGCCATCCCACACAGAATCTCCAGGTGTCATCTCTTCCTCGTTAATGGTTTCCCAGCAACTGTGGGACCCAAAGCCTGAGGGCATGTCCGTATGGGTCCATGCCTGGTTGGCCTGCACGGCAGTCTCTGGCTCCTGTGAGCACAGCCCCCCGCCCCCATAACCATGCCTTGGCTCCAACAAGGAAAGGGGGCACGTTGCAGAGAACCAGACTGACCCCTGGGCAGAGAACCAGCACTGCCATTGGAGCCATGGCTTCTGGACTGTTCTTTGGAAGACCCCTGCTGTGGGCCGAGGCAGGCACCTGGACTGTGTGAGCCCATTTGTGATAGCCCGTGCTTTGTCTGGGGACTGCTCTCAAGCTTCTGGATGACTCGGTGGCCACAACCCTTCCCAGCGGGACATTCAGATATTTACCTTTTAGGAGTCCCTCGGGAGGAGCAATTACTGTGTTATTTTCTGGGGGCCCTCATGGCGGTGCTGGGGGGAACCTGCGCTTGGCCCCTTTTAGGCTTCTCAGGAGACAGTTGGCTGGACCCCGCTGGCCTGTGTCTCCTCGGGACTTGGGAGCAGAAGTGGGTGTGGCCATTCGATGACGGTGACCCCTGACCTCTACTTCATCACAGCGTCTGGTCTCCCATTCACAATGATGTGTGGAGCAAGGCGCTGGCCCGTGCAGTTGGCGGTAGGGAGCACTGGGCTGTCAGGGCTTCCGGCAGGTCCCGACCCCTGGATGGAAAGCACAGGACCGCGCGGAGCTCGAGTCCTAGGGAGCCAGAGGAAGCCGGGCCCTGTGTGCGTGCGTGCGTGCGTGCGTGGGGCTGGTGGCGCAGAGCGAAGGCACCCTCCCAGCCCCGGTTCTGTCTTGCAGCATCGACAAGATCTCCAAAGTCACCTCCCCGGTGCTGGTCATCCATGGGACGGAGGACGAGGTCATTGACTTCTCGCACGGGCTGGCCATGTACGAGCGCTGTCCACGGGCTGTGGAGCCGCTGTGGGTGGAGGGGGCAGGACACAACGACATCGAGCTCTACGCGCAATACCTGGAGCGGCTGAAGCAGTTCATCTCGCACGAGCTCCCCAACTCCTGAGGGCCAGCCCGCCCCACCTGTGGGGACACCGGGGTGCTCAGTACGGGGCGAGGCCGCAGCCTCCCTCCCTGGCCGGCCTCCACCCTTGGGTCGCTGGTGCAGGCCTAGCCGGACCTGTGCTCCGCACCGTGAGCCATACTTGCATCTGTGACGGGGTCTGAAAATGCCTTGTTCTTTCTGTGGGCGCCCCGTCGCCCCCAAACACGTGGCCAGATGGCCCATGTGCAGGAACTCTCACCAACAGCTCCATGAACCTCCTGGATGTAACTGGAATATTCTGAACAGAAACTGAGTGTGTTTCTTTCTTCCCTTCCTTCCTTCCCTCCGTCCCTCCCTCCCTCCCTCCCTCCCTCCCTCCCTCCCTTCCTTCCTTCCTTCCTGTATGTTTGTTACTGGCCCACCGAGGTTCTCCTGTTTTGCTTGTCTGGTGGTTCTAACTCCACGCTTGGCAGACGTTGGTCTCAGCTGGGGTCCAGGCACTGCCCCCAGCAAGAGTCCACTGTGTTTCCCCCTCAGTCAAGTTCCTAATTCCTGGTTTGTAGTATAAATGATTGAATACATTTTGTTAATATGTTTTTACTCCTCTGTTTTGCTATTAAAGTTTTTATAACATTTCCAAGATGAAAAATAACAAACCAACAGCTGCTGCGTTTATGCTTTGAAGAATCTCTGTGATCAAACTCTACTATGTGACTCTTTGTAGTTCCGGGGACTCTGGGCTCAAACCTTGGCAGGGCACCTAACCTGTCTCTGCCAGAAGCTACCCAGGACCCTCCCCCACAAGGTGCTGGAGGGGGTTTCTGTTGGGGGGGGCATCTTTGGACTGACTTAAATCCTTTTTCCAATTCAAAGCCTTAAATGTACTGTAAGCCTCAGCAGCTTGTCCAGGGCGTGACGGGCGGTGAGGAATAAAGATGCATGAACCACAGCTGCCGGCTCTGTTGCCTCCTTCCTTCCCCTCCCTGGTGAGCCTGGGCTGGAGCCTGCCTCCTCCTCAAGGGGCCAGAAGCGGGGGATCCCTGTCCCGAGGGTCCCTAAACCTACTTGACCTCCATCCTTGGGCCCTCTGTGTCTAGGCTCTGGTCCAGGAGACTTCCTGTGGGAGGGGGCAGCCAGGCCCTCTGCACCCTCCCGTGTGCCACCGATCACACTGAGTGATCCTGTGGCGACATTACTTCACCCTTACCCTCCTCCCCCCCTCATGCCAGGGGCTTCGCCCATCACTCTCATACCTGTTTGGTCCTTTCTTTGTGCAAAGCCAAGCCCGTTTTTCAGGTGCTTTCGGCTCCTCAGGCTTCCTTCCTGAGTGTGCTGTTCCCGCCTAAGCAGCTCGTTTGCGTTTCATTCATTCGTAACATAAACACCTCCCACAGTTCCGCTCTGTGGGCCAGAGTGGGCACCTTTTCAGGAAAAGGACTGAGCGCGAACTTGGGCGGGCGGGGAGGAGTTCTGAGCTCCGGAGTTTACTAGTTCTGCACCCGCCTAACTTAGAGCCGAAGATACGGGCCCAATGCCAAAGCTGAGTGTCACAGGCTCACAGGACGCGGATTCTTCTCCCTGGTGTGTGTTTTGAGCTTTGTGAAATGTGGACCTATTTTACCTGTGCGATTAAGTGAGTTCTTGGTTCACAAAGCTTCACGTGGCTTTCGCAATCAGGAAAATCAATTTCCTATCAGCTGCCCTCCTCCCATCCCTGTTCCCAACCCCATGGGCAGAGTTTACAGGCCTCTTAGAAATAAAAACTCGGGACCAGAGAAACAGTACGGAAGGGAGGGGGTTTGCCTTGCATGTGACTGACCCAGGTCCATTTCCCAGCACCCCATATGGTCCCCCAAGCCCACCAGGAGTGTTCCTGAGCACAGAGCCACATCATCAGGTGTGGCCCCAAACCAAAAAACAAAATAAAAGAAAATGGAGGAGAGCCAGGAAAGAAATGCGGGTTAAGGCAATTGCATGAGGCCATTGAATCCCTGGGAGGACATCTGGTCTCACAGGCACTGCCTGGGCACTGACCTTTTTTTTCTTTTTTGGTCACACCCGGCAATGCACAGGGTTACTCCTGGCTCTGCACTCAGGAATTACCTCTGGCGGTGCTCAGGGGACCATATGGGATGCTAGGAATCGAACCCGGGGCGGCCACGTGCAAGGCAAACGCCCTACCCGCTGTGCTATTGCTCCAGCCCCTGGGGGTGACTGTTGAGCACAGAAACAGGACAACGGACAACCCCTGGAGCACCACAGGAAAGAAAAATGGCCTCCCTTGGTGTCAGTGCACTCTGAGATGGAGAAATCTATTTTCAGGATTCCTGAGTGAGCAGCTGGCCAGTGTGGCAGTGATTCCTGTCCAAATGCCAGCCCAGGCAGCCACTCCGTGTCCATCCACATCCAACAGAGGAAGGCGGGTCTCCTGGGCTGCTAAATTCTCTTTCTCCTACTCCTGCCCTAGGCTCTGCGTCCAAGCGCGACCCCTGTCGGCGGGTTGTGAAAGTGTACTTATCGCTGGGTCTGTGGGAGGCCTGGAAGGGCCAGTCCCCCATGCCTCCTGTTTCCCAATGCTGGGGGTAGGGGTGACACAGGGAGCCCTAAATGGGAGGCAGATTTTTTTGGGGGGGCTCAGCTTCACCCCTCCACAGTGCAAAAAAAATTGTAGGAAGAAGGCCTCGTTGGTCTGGACACACTTCAGCTGTGGGCGATGGGGGAGGGAGTGAGGCAGTGAGCCCTAGCCATGGGACCACAGGTGGGGTTGCAGACATCTGTTCAGAGCCTATCCAGAGCCTAGTGGGACCTGGGAGGCCGCCTCCACCCTCCGCCTGCCTGTAAGGGCACTGGATACAGACCCCACAGACTGACCCCTGCGTGTGCCCAGAGACAGCCAGGCATGTCAGCACCCAGAGCTAGACAAGCTCCTTCTGTGACCCCTTGCAGCCTGTCAAGTGCCTCTCCTGCACCCCTTGACACAGTTCCCTCTGTCCCACTTGCCAGCACCCCTCACCCGTGGGTCCTGCTGTTGGGCCTGGCCACTAGTCTGAGGACCAGGGTGGGACCTATTTTGACTTTAGAAGGGGTGCCCACCCCAGGACTTCTCCTTTCTCTGCAGTCCACTGCCCTGGGGAAGGACAGAGATACTGGGTGCACCCCCTCAGGTCGGGGTGCCAGGAGGAAGTACAGCATCGCGGGGGCCCAAGCACAGCCCCCCACAGGGCGGTACAGGAGCAGGCCCCCTGTGGTGCAAGGGCTGTTGCCCTCTGGCCTTACAGAGGCTCAGAGAAGGCAGGCGGTGGGCTGCGGCCACACAGCAGAGCAGAGGACAGAGGCCGGATGAGAGCGGTGCTCCTTCCTGCCCCTTCTCCACCCCACGAGGGGCCGCTGCGACGGTCCGGACCGGGGTGAGGACCCCAGATCCATCCTCCCGCACGTGAGTCCCTGCTCAGAGCAGGCCTCCGCCGGACGGACGTTTTGGGGTGTCGCAAGGAAATACTGGAGCTCTCCAGGGCCCCCTTGATGCTCGGGACCAACCCGCCCCCTGCCCACCTCGCCGCTGTTCGGGTCGGAGTCGGCGACCGGAGAAGTCCGGGCCGGGGGTTTCCCAGCGAGCGCGGCGACCCCCACGCGCTCTCGCCCGCCAGCGAGCCCCGCGGCTCGAGCGCCTCCGCCCGCGGCCGGCAGAGCCCGCCTCTGTCTGGCCAAGCGCGCGGGGCCCCAGATGCTCCTGGAAGGGGTGGGGGAGCGGGGGGCGGGCCGGGAGTCGCGTCAGCCCGGGGGGAGGAGCCGGCCCGCGCCGCCCCTATAAAGGCCGCGGGCGCCGGGGGGAAGCACGGAGCGCGCGTGGCCAGCGCAGGAGTCCGGAGCGGCTGCCCCGCGCCCGGCCGCCGAGAGGTAAGGGGGGAGGGCGCCTCCAGCCACCCGGCTCCGTTGGTCCGTCCGCCCCGTCCGTGCTCCCGTGGGTGCGTGCGCCCGAGCCCTCCTGCGCCCAGTGTCCCCGAGACCTGGAGTCCTGCAGCACAGGTGACAGGCGCGCGCGGGAGCCCCGCCTGGGTACGAGGCAGACCCCGCCTTCCCCCGTGGTGCCAGGGGTCTTGCGTCCTGCACGCGACGTGACCTGGTCACTGTCCCGGCGGGCGCGCGCCTGGCAACAGGTCTGCGCCGCAGGGTTCGCCGGGGGTCCCCTTCCGGACCACCGTCACCCGGCTCCGTGGGGCGGGGGCCGCGCGCACTCGGGGCGCCGGGATGTTGGCCCGAGACTCCAAGTCCCCGCAAGGCGCGTCGGCTCCGAGGGGGCTCGGCGCGGGCGCGGGGGGCAGGCAGCGGGGCAGCGGGACGCGTGTGCGTCCGAGAAAGGCACGCGGGCAGAGGTGCCCGCCGGATCCGCCTCTCCAAGTCGCCAGCTCCGCCAGCCGCCGGGCCCGAGGTCCCGAGTCCAGTTCCACGCGGCCCGCGCTGCCCACAGGTGAGCCGTCCCCGCTTCCAGCAGCCTTTTGATGTGGGCGCCAGTTCCTGGCGGCCGCCCCAGGCCGGAGGTGGGAGCCTGGAGCCCGGCGCTCTCCGCCTGCGCCCGCGGTCTGGAGCGCGTTCCGGGCGCGCCCGCGGGCGGGGAGCCTGCGCGCTGCGTGCCCCGGCTCGGCGCCACCATGGACAGCTCCCAGCCGCTTCCTCCGCGGGGCTGGGGCCCCAGAGGGCCCCCCAGGTCCCACCGTCCTCCTGGCCTGCATGCTTCGCGCCCGGACGGGAGGGTCTTGCGGTGCCCACAGGGGTCCCCGTCCCCGCGGGCCCCACCTCGGAAGGGAGAGGAACCCTGGGGTTGCTGCTGAGCCGCGGGGTGAGCGGGGAGGCTCCTCTGGAGACCCGGCCCTCAGGTGCAATAAATGCACCAGAGGGCGAGCTAGGGGTCCCTCTGGGCGAGCTAGGGGTCCCACTAATCCACAGGGGAGACGGGTCTGAGCCATTCTATTGAGGCTCTTGTAGACACCACGTTTATGGGGTTGGAGGGTGCTCAGCTCTCCCGCAACGCCACAGGGGGCCTCTTTTTGCAGTCCCCCCTTCATTTCTTTTTCCAAGCCGGTTGCTTGGAAACAGGGTGGGAGAACCTGGCAGGTTGATCAGTCCTCATCAAACACCTTCCCTGGTGGCAAGTGTGTCCTCACTCCGGCCTCTTCTTCCCGCTGTGAGTGTGAGGCGTCCACAGCAGCCCCTTGTCCCGTGGGGTGCAGAACAGAAGCCCCGGTCCGCACTGACCTGCTCCTTGCTTGCCAGGAATCCATTATGCTTCCTTTCCGTGGACGGTGCTGATGAAGGTGCCGCTG